GAGAGACTAAGGGTTCTGGAAGAGTGGCCAGTATGGGAAGCATACAACAAAAGCAACAAAAGCTTGGGCTTTTGTTGTCAGCCATCAATGTCACGTGGGCTTTCACTGTGTCCCGTGACCTTGAGATGTTTTTGATTGCTCTCCCAGTTTCTCTCCTTCATTCCTTACGGGTCAAGTACTTGGTGGCAAGAGGAGAAGCATTGGGGGAAAGTGAACTCCCATTTATCGAAGGCCCCTGTGTGCCAGGCACCATTCAAGGTGTTCACCAAAGTCAGCGGAGCCAGGGCGGCCCACCTTCTGACGCCGATTCTGGGTGAAGACGGTGTGGGGCCAGCTCCAGGCTGATTTATGTGAGCTAGCTCCAGGGCAGAGTGGCTGGGAGGCCAGGGGCCCGCTCACAACAGCCATGTCTGCAGTGCGGCTCCCTGAGTTCAAGTGGAGCGGCTGGCGTAGACCCTAGCCCAGTGTCCTCTCAGCCCCAGCTGCCACGTGGACCCAACGAGGTTGGGGGGAGGAGCTTTTCTTTTTAAAGAAAACACAGTTTCTATTGGGGATGGAAAACCTTGCCTGCCTGGGCAGGTGCCAGGGGGCAGACTCCTCAGCACAGTGCTTAGAATGTCAGTAAAGGTGGATGGAGAGGGGCTAAACACTGTAAGTGGCTGCCACCCTGACCACCCGAGGCTCTGTTTAGATCTACTGCCAGCCATCTCCTTCACTCTGCCCACAGCCTTCCCCAGCCTCTTGGGTATCTTTGATGTGAGCAGTACCATCATGCACCATGTCACCCAGTCCCTGACTCTTCGTCTCCTTTACCTCCACCCAGGTGAGGGGTCTAGAATATGCCTACTTGACATCACTGAGACTCGTCCCATCTCTGACCTGACCCAGGCAGAATTAGTCCCTCACCACTCTCTGAAAGCCCCGCCGTCTTCCTGGCATAGCACTTACAACCGTTTGTGATTTTTATTTGTTTCTCCTCACTCGCCCATGAGTGCCACTGCTTACTATGGCCTTGGGTCCCTGAAGAATGCCACTAGATGTCTGTGGAGTAGATACAGGAAAGCCCAGTGGAGCTGCTAGCTCAAGAGATTCAGAACTAAGTAGGTATGAATTCTACAAATTGCAGTATTTTTCCGAAGTTGACATAAAAGGCCAAAATATTGTTAAGGCTTCAGAGGAGTCAGGTGTGTGTTGTGTGTGAGGGAGTGCTTAGGGTTGGGGGCCCGTGAACATGTTGTGTGCCGTGTGTCCCTGGTACTCAGGTGTTGGTATGTTTGGGGAGGGCGTGGGTGTGTGTAGACGGGATGTGTCCATATGTACGCCCATCTCTGCCATGGCTGGACTCTGCATCTCGGACGCGGACATGTAATGATGGCCCCCAGTATGGCACGAAGGCACTGCCGGGGGGGTTTTCAAATTGCAAGACAGGCCTGTGGATGGGGCAGGTGAGGGAAAACACCGCATCTTTTGGTTCCTGTGAAGAGAGCAGGTGGTCGTGGACAGTGACCCCCGGGTGCCCCGCTGCACACTTCTGTCCTTCCGTTCTGCTTTTCCAGGGAGCTCCCGTGTGTGAGTGCAGACTGACCCTGAGTGCTTTTTTCTCCTCTCTCTTCCTTCCTACAGTCGGTTCTGAATGTGATCAGTGAGCTGCAGGAGCAGATGTGTAGGCTGCAGCTGGACATCCACAGGCAGATGCAAGAGCGCCTCTCTCTCAGTAGGGACTACCCTGAGGAGGTGGCGGCCGGCGACGGTGCGGCCCGGCCCCAGCCCTGCGGCCAGGACTGTGCCCACGGGGAGGGGTCACCTGTAGGCACCACACTTAAGTATATGGGAGCATGTGTGTGTGGGGCGTCTCATGGCGGAGGGACCGGGGTATCTCCTAACCAGAACCGTGTGCACTAACTTAACATGGATCTGCAGTCACTTCTGGGCAGAGCTTGGGACTCCCCCTTGGGGGACATGAGCCGAGCTCTGTGACCTTTCCCCAGCAGGGTCTGAGCAGGAGAGGCCAGCCCTCTGACGGGTGACTGCACTCATCTCCCTCGGGGCTGGGACTGAGGTGTGTCAGGTGCCCCAAATAATGGGGCATTGGTACCAAGAGAAGCTTCAAGAGCTCCCTTCCCAGGTCTGACTCAGACACCAGCTCTTCTTCCTGGGCGGGGAGATTAAATGAAGCTTCGTCTCATGTGATTTCTTTTTTTTTAATTTAAGAAAAAAATAGCACCGTGAAAGAATCCTTTCAAGTTTATTTTTAAAGGGATTTATCCCCAGTGAGAAAATAGAACACAAGTTTCCATATATTTGACACCTGTCATCATCTCAGTTTCTGGGGGAAAATTCTCCCACATGATCACATTTGAGGGATCTCACCACCTCTGGGCCTGTGGAGTGCATCTGACTGGGATTCTGGACTTGACCCCTCACACTGGTATCACCAGTGTTTTGTGATGGCAGCTGCACAGCCATGAGCCTGTGCCTCCAAGGCCCCCTACTGAAGAGGACTGGGAAGGTCAAGGTCACGATAGCCATGTCTGTAGGAAGTTGCCATGATGTTATATCCAACTATGGGACGTGTTGAAAATCTCTACACTGACTTGGGTGTGAGGGGGCAGGGCTCGGTGGGGAACAAAACAAGAGTCAAGATGAGGTGCAGATTTGGAAAGGGGAGCTCTGACAAGGTGCTGGCCCCATGGAGAGCAGGTCACCCCAGAAAGACTTGTAAGAGAAATGAGAGTGGGCACCAGTGTTTATAGCTCATGATGGGCAACAAATAGCTGAAAAGGAAGAGACTAGGCCCAAGAGGTCACCAAGCCTGGAGGTGGTCCTGCTTGCTGTCCCCATAATGACCACTCCTCAGCAGTAACCCGCACACTTTGGGTTCTGCCATCAGCAGGCCTGGCATCCCCCTCAAGCACAGTTAGACTCAGAAAATGATCTTTAATCTGTTACAAGTCACAACAGGCCTTAAAGTCTAATGTTGCAGATCAAGGAGGCAATAATCAGCTTGGAAGACATTTTTTTTTAAGGGCAGCAACAAATGTTCGCCTCAGTTATAAAAAAAATCTTAGTAAACATCCCTACAAAGTTAAGTGGAAGCGATGTCACTCTCTGGTGGATTGTCTCAGAGTGCAAAGAGCTCCAGGTCAGTTAAAAGATGGCTTGAGTTGCATGTGTTCATTCATCAAGAAATAATGCATACTTGACTATGTGCCAGAGGTTAGCAAAGCTCATGGAGTTCACAATATAGGAGGGGAACTAGCCATTAGCAGTCACACCAGTAAATGTTTAATTGCAAATGATGTAAAAGATGATACAGATACCACAAGAGTATAGAAGAGAGATCTGAAGAAGTGTGGAGGTTGGGATAGCTTTGCTCAAAGCAGCCTGAAGGATGGGCAGGGATTAACCTGACAGGATTAACCTGAGGGAGCTGCAGGTGTGAGGGCCCAAGTCAGATGGAACTAAAAAGTAGGGGTGTGGCTGGAGTATAACTGGGGAGAGAGAGTGATACAAGAGGCAGGCAGGGTGCATGGTCAGGCCAGGCTGTATTGGTCATGGGTTAAAGTTCATGACCTTTGAAGAGCAGGGAAGGCCAGGATCAGATTTGTGCTTCAGTCATATTGTTCCCCTGGATGCCATGGGGCCAGTGGATTCAAGAAGGGCAAGGTAACAGAGGACCAGCCAGCAGAGAGGCTGTCCAGCTGTCAGCACTGACTGCTGGATCAGAGTAGCCCGGCAGAGTTGGAGATAAAGAAGAGACTCAGGCAGTTTCCTTGAAGGTAGAATTTACAAGGCTCTGTAGATGACGTATGTGGAGGAAAGACCAAAGAGATGCCAGGGAGGGATCCTGAGTTTCTGATGCAAGATGGAGATGCCATTTAGTGAGACAGAGATATCTAAAAGGGGGAACTGAGAGTTCCACTTGGGCCATGGCAGTTAGAAGAGGCCCAGATGCCATCCATGTGGAGATGTTAAGTGGAAAGTTACATGAGCCTGGAGTTCAGAAAGTCTGTGAAAGTAATCACTTTTATGCTAATTTTTCTGAACGAAACCAGCCAGCAGGACCATTTGTCTGTTAAAGGACCCTAGGTTTGGGACAAGGGTGCTCAGTGGTGTCTTTACTCAAGGGGTACTGTAGAAAGCAGGGGCCCAGGGGTCAGAAGATAACAGGCCTGATTTCCAGCTCCACCATCAGCAAGTTGTTTAAATGTCACCTTCCCAGTCAGCAACCTTCAGTGGCTTCCTATAATACGATCTAAAGAATGGCTTCAGAATTCTTTATATTCTCATCCAACAGCCTTTACAGTAAGGCCCCACCTTATGTCCTGGCCTCATTTCCCACTGAAAGCTGCCCATCCTCTGCTCCAGCCCAACAGGCTGTCTGCCTTCATGCTTCCTGTCTGCCCTCTCCCTAGATGCCTCCCCTCTTCCTCCTTTCTTCAAGCCAACTCCCTCCTCTAGAACACCCAGAACTGGAACACCCAGGCCAGCCTTTACATTTCACACTTTAGCATTTGTCCTTGCAGTGTTTGATTTCTATCCTCCTGGCTTGTCACTCTTCTTCCTCCCTTGACCCTCCCTTTAGGTTCCTGGACCATCCTGCCTCCTCCCAAGCTGGCTCGGGTTTTTTTTTTTTTTGCATCTCTGTTTCTCTTGCTCCCAAACCCTACCTCTCCTGTCCTATACATATGTGTGCATGGTTTGGGCACCCCCTACAGGGAATGCAGATGTTAGAAAGGTGGAGGGGAACAGGTTCTAAAAGAAAAAGTTTTCTCTTCCTTATGTCTGAAACTCCAGGCCTCTGTTTTGTAATGGGCACACAGCTCTTCCTGAAACAAGGACCAGCCATCTTTAAAGATCGGAGCCAGCCACAGTGCAGAGCCTGACGTGGTGGCTCCTGCCTTGGCTTCGTCCTCTGTGCATGTGCTTATGCAGGGTTGTAGATCCTGGTAACACCCTGTTCTTTAACCATCAGAACTCTGTCTTCCTCACTCATCTAGGAGTTACTGCAGGAGCTCCGGCACCTCAAAATCAAGGTGGAAGAGTTGGAAAATGAACGGAATCAGTATGAATGGAAACTAAAGGCCACCAAGGTAAGAGGCAGTCCTGCTGTTTATGAAGAGGCTTTGAGCCCAGTGGGGAGGGTCTGTGTCTGAGCCTGGGGTGTGCAGTAACCTTAGCTTGAGAAATGTGAATTGACCCCACTGTATGCACAGGCAACAGTGCAGATTGTGTAAGCAGATGGATCTAATCCAGGAGGGCTCTTCCCCTGGAGAAAGCCCTCGAGGTTATGAGTTGCTGAAGTCAGAAAGTCTCTGTGTCCCGCAGCAACCCCCAGGCTGAGGCGCTATGAGTGATGAGTTTTAGGGCAGATGAATGCCAACATTATCTTGGCTGCATTATTTTAAATTTAGCAGTCCCTCTAGTAATCAGTTACTAAAAAGAGGCATGCTTTATTTTTAGCAATTCCTAAAAATATGTACCTGTCTTTTTTTTTTTTAACCAAACCATATTTCTATTGAACTGAGGAGCTTGCTGTTTAAAGGATACCAGTGATATATTATTTTTGCAAAATAAGTGTTATCCTTCCCTCTTTTGTTTCTTCCTTCATTTTCTCTACTAGTTGAAATGGATTCAACCCACACATTTATTGTTTTGGCCAGAACATTGTATTTTAAAGCTTTGAATTACCTTGCACTTAAGCAGTAGGAAATTTCACTTTAAATTACAGAGTTAGACTTCCTTGGGGGCAGAGGAAGGACATCTGGGGTTGAGGGAAGGGAGCCTTAAAACCCTGAAGCAGCTTTCCGGCCTGAGGAACTGGCCTGGGCTACCTAGGGTGCACACACACGCCTGCCTTCCACCAAGAGCTCTGCAGCGCCACCCACAGGTGTCACCAGGTAGTCCCGTAGGCATTTTCATTTTACTGCCAAGTGAAAGTCGCTCAGTCCTGTCTGACTCTTTGAGACCACATGGGCTATACAGTCCATGGAATTCTCCAGGCCAGAATACTGGAGTGGGTAGCCGTTTCCTTCTCCAGGGATCTTCCCAACCCAGGGATTGAACCCAGGTCTCCTGCACTGCAGGTGGATTCTTTACCAGCTGAGCCACAAGGGAAGTCCAAGAATACTGGAGTGGGTAGACTATCCCTTCTCCGGCAGATTTTTCCCAACCCAGGAATCGAACTGGGGTCTCCTGCATTGCAGGAGGATTCTTTACCAACTGAGCTATCAGGGAAGTCCATTTTCATCTTAGAATTTTTTTTCAACATCTAGTTTGTACTTTATTTTCCTATAACTTTAAATGATTATAAAAACAATAATCATTAGAGATAAGTTTTAAATCACAAAAATTTAACAGAGTAAAAATCACTCGTATACCACCCAGGAGTTAACCACCATTAATATTTCCTTCCAAGGCATTTCTGTTTTGGGGGAAGGGGGGGGTCCTCTCTGTTAATTTTTGGTGTTGATAATTTATTCATAATTTTATACCATACTGTTGAAAAAAAACTCTGAGTATCATGTTGATGTATATATAAGTGTAAATAATTTTCTTAACTACTTTCTTGATGAGAAAACTGAGGCACAGAGTAGTTAGGTAACTTTCCCCAGATCTTATAGCTATTCAGCAGCAGCGCTGGACAATCTGCTTGTTCACTTACTGCTCTGTCTTTATCTAAGTGTCCCTTGTATGCTCCATGAGTCCCAGTCTAGGAGCACCGTTTCTCTAACATCTCAGAACCTTCCATCACCATGATCCACTCAAGCAAGTCTTGTCTTGGTGAAACCTTTGAAGTTATACACCCCGCCTTCTATTCTAAAATCAAGTAGCTCTTAAATCACCAAAGCACTCTGCCTTGGCACATAGACCTTTGAGATACTATGGGTTATTTAATAACCACCAGGTCTGGAACCCCTCTTCGTGCCAGGATGTGTCAAGCCCTTTACACACATTTTCTCATTTGGGCCATAAAGTAACCCAGTGAGGTCTGTTGATTCATTATCTTCATTTTTCTGCTGAGGAAACTGAGGCTCAGAGTGGCCAAGGTGAGATTTTGATCTAGGTCTGTGTCATTCTGTCATCCTAATTCCCTGCAATTGAAACCTGTCTTGTTTGTTAAAGTTGTTTAGTTTTCTGTGCAAAGCTTCTCGGTCTGTAAATGTAGCAGTGTAGTGGCTATAGGGCCTGGTCCCTGGGTTTAATTGAGGGAGATGGAGCCCCCCGTCTCTGCTTGGCGCCAGTCTGCATGACTTTGTCCCAAACCTCTTGCCATACAGCTCCAGTCTCAGTGGCCATGGAAGTATACTTCCTCTGATGGTCAGATGCAGGGCCTCTGTGCTGCTGTAGACTTCCCAGCTTTGGAACAGATACCTCTCTAAGCGTAAGAGAGCACCTGTCATTTCTGGCCTATTCTGTGAAAACTGGCATACAGGAAGGGGCACCAGCCAGTTGGTCTGTAGAGTTGTAAATAAATGACCTCACCCAGACGCAGGCCTCAGAGAGAAGATCCTGGGCTCTGCCTTGATAGATAGGCCCCTGGACATCACTGGTGTCCACTGTGGGGCCTGCACACAAGAATCAGGCATGTGGATTCCTAGCAGAAACTAGCTTTCACCCTATCTGCAAAGAAGGGTAGAAATGGGTGTAGAAGGTGCAAGAAAAGAGACTGTCTTCCAAAATTAGTCTGGCCCTTATAGAAATGAGACAGTAAAGAATCTGCCTGCAATGCAGGAGACCCCAGGTTCAATCCCTGGTTCAGGAAGATCCCCTGGAGAAGGGAGAGAATGGCTACTCACTCCAGTATTCTACTGGAGAACTCCATGGACAGAGGAACCTGGTAGGCTACAGTCCATGGGGTCACAAAGAGTTGGACATGACTGAGCTAATACTTTCATTTTTCACTATAGAAATGAGATGCATTTGGATAGAGTCCCAGGGCTAAGGGGTTTCCCAGGTGGCGCTTGTGATTAAAAAAACCCACCTGCCAATGCAAGAGACATAAGAGATGTAGGTTCAATCCCTGGGTCAGGAAGATCCCCTGGAGGAGGGCAGGGCAACCCACTCCAGTATTCTTGCTAGGAGAATCCCATGGACAGAGGAGCGTGGTGGGCTGCAGTCCATAGGGTCGCACAGAGTCGTACACCACTGGAGTGACTTAGCACCCATGCACACAATGCTAATGTTTTCTGTGAAGCTACTGTCACCATTAATTATAAGCCCATGGGCTCCAAGGCCCTGAGTTAGCTGTGAGAAGCTGCCCCCTGACTGCAAGTCTCCACAAACCGTTTGGCACATCTGGCCTTGGATCTCCGTACTCTGTGGGTGGAAGCCAAGCAGAGGGACCGTGCTCTGTAGGGACTTCAGGTAAGGAAACCCACTCCTTGCCACCTCTTTGTTTTTACACAGTCCCAATTAAGGGACATTAAGGAAGATTTGTCCAGACCCTTGGAGGTAGGCTCTGGGTGCCCTAGCCCCATAAGAGCAGCCCTCATCTGTCTATCCTCAGTCGAATCCTTCACTGCTCCTGCTTTCCCCAGTGATGTACAGGGATAGTTCTTCATCCCTTGGTTTCCTGTGAGGACTGAGTGAGGGTTGATGTAAGAATGCAATGAGCATGGAGTCAGTGGAAAGCGGACACTCCATCCATGTGTCCTAAAACTGAACACAGGAATGTTTGGTGGAAGACCCACCAACAGGCCAGTGATCATTTGGTTACTTGAGTTGCTCAAAGATGACCTCATGAAAGGACAAGTCCATACCATAACCTTGCAGAATTAAAGTGGGACACCACTAGGCTTCATGGGGGAGGGGTGCTCAGGTAGACACTGTGCTGTGTGTGCTGTTGTCTGGCTGGGAGTCAATTCTCACCCCCTTTCTTAGTCTGGCTTGATGTTCAGCGAACTAACTAGCTATTCATAAGGGAAGGAATAGGATGAGAACAGCAATAGAAGTAGCACCGATTGAGGACTTAACTGTTTACCGAGTGCATGAGGCTAAGTTGTTTGTAACCATTATCATATTTACTCCTCACTACAGCCCATGAGCTAAATGCTATTCTCCTGGCTTTGTAGATGAACCAAGACTCAGAAAAGCTAAACCACTTACCCAACTAGGAAATGAGAGAATCCAAGTTTGTTTGACTCCAAAGCCAGTGTACCTCTTAGGATGGGACCCACCCAGTTCTGGTCTTCTCATGAGTATGAAAGGCAGGGACAACCTCATGTGTGCCTGCATGCTCGGTTGTATTCGACTCTTTGTGACCGCATGGACTATAGACTGCTAGGCTCCTCTGTCCATGGGATTCTCCAGGCAAGATTATTGGAGTGGGTTGCCATGTCCTCCTCCAGGGGATCTCCCTGACCTGGGGATTGAACCTGTGTCTGCCTGCGTCTTCTGCATTGCAGGTGGATTCTTTACCCATTGAGCCACTGGGAAGCCCCAGGAACAACCTCACCTCCTTTTATGTGTGAAATTTAATCTGCTGTACTCAGTAGACATTTGGGTACTACCCAGTGCAGCTGCCTACATGAATGTGTGTTAGCACCTGTGTTGTACTCACATGCTTGATTTACACAAGTATGTCCACTCAGCATACCTGAGTGCTTGTATGTAATTACATTTGGGGAAAGGAGCATCGGTGCCTGAGGTTGGGATGAGGCAGTGGCTGTGCATTCAGGGTGGCAGAGTTTGAGGGAGGGAACTCTCGGCTCACTCACTATCTACTTGTGGTGATTTGCTTTCCACTGTATTTCCTGTAAGGGGTGGAAAAGTGAAAGATGCACGTACTTGTTACAGTGGTGTACATACATGCTCCTGCTGTTGCAGGAGTATCTTGGGAGGAAGAAGACCATGTCCAGAAAGAGAGTATTCATCTTCGGACCAAGGGCAGCCCTCTGATTTCACACACTCACACCTCCTCGGGCCTCAGTGGTGTGTGGATTACAGAGGCAGGGGAGGGGAAGAGTCCAGTCCAGTCAGGGAGGAGGAAGCAGGAGAAAGAGCAGCTAGGATGGTGAGAGCAGGGTGGGGAGGTGGAGAGGGGAGGGGAGGGCCAGTGTCCAGAAAGGCCAGGAAGAGCACGTTCATTCCCCAGAGCGCCACCTTGTGGGGAGGGTGGTGAACACCTCTCACTGCTCGCCTCTGGCTACTTTGCTCTGACCTGTTAACTTCCTAACGGGTCCTAGGACCCGTGGGCCCTGGATTTCTGATTGGAAGTGCTTTGTCATGATCTTGTGGTCCCTCTGAGCTGGTCGGATGCCTTTTTTCTCTTCCAGGCTGAGGTAGCCCAGCTGCAGGAGCAGGTGGCCCTGAAGGATGCAGAAATTGAGCGTCTGCACAGCCAGCTCTCCAGGTCAGCAGCTCTGCACAGTGACCACGCAGAGAAAGGTAACTGGCTAGTCTGTGACAGAGTGCAGTCGCCCCTTGGCCTGGGTCCTCTCTTATAAGTGAGCTTGCGAGTCTCTGGGTATGTGAACAGTTGTGTGAGGAGGCACGTGGTGTGCATGTATATGTGTATGTGTTCGTGTGTGCACACACTGGCCTATAAAGCCTGTCATTTCTCATCCTTTGGATCTCAACTTAAGTGTTACCTCTCGGAAAGACCTATCCTGGCCATCCCACATCAACTAGGTGCCCCTACTTTTCTCAGGCTCAGTATTCCTGTTGTTTCTTTCATAGCACTTATAACCAGTGTTGTGTTTTGCAAAGTCCCTTTGAATAGACTGTTGTCCTTCCTTGGTGGCAGGGACTGTGACTGTCTTACCTGAGAGCATATCCACAGAGCCTCACACAGCATTCAGTCCATAGCTGCCAAGGAATATTTTTTTGAATAAATGAAAAGATAGTGAATGGTCCCTAAGGAGTTCAAGTCTTGCTGATTAAAAATAGAGGCTGGATCCTCAAATATTCTTATTAATGTGTATTTGATATTTGCAGCTATTTGCCTTTCATACAAAATAATCACACACCTTCCAGCTTCTCCTCTTGCCCTCAGGCTGCTGAATGTTGCTGCAGGAGGTCATGTGACCCTGTGAACTGGCTCCACTACCGAGTCTCCTCAGCACGCCTTAGCTTGGATCCCTGGCTGGGGTGGGCAGCCATGCAGCCCTGAAACAGTGGCTTAGGCTGAAGAAGGAAACAGTGACCCATATGCTCATCCCTCCAGCAGCCTTTCTCAGTGTCTTCACCAGCCATTGAGGGTGTCGTCTATCTCCCATGGTCTAATGTGGAGCATGCAGACCACTTCCCCCACTCTAGACTATCTATGATGCTAAACTTGGATAGAGAGCTCCCATGATTTCAGGTCAGGCAGGCTTCCCCCTGCACCCTATGCCTCCCCATAGATCACACTTTCCAGGCCCTGCCTGGGGTACCTCCCGGAGCTGATCTTTAAGGCCTTGTCTGGTTAGGCCCTGCCCAAAGCATCAAGATTTGCTTCATCTGGAGTTTACCACCCTCCCCTCCACAAACCACCAAGAGCCTAAGACACCAAGCAGCACTCTATACCTTCCTCTGAAAAATGAATCCCTACATCTGTTTACACAAAGTCCGTCAATCCATTCTTCCTGCTCTTGTTGGCTGTAGCAAGCATCCAGAGAGATGGGGTGCCCATTCATTTTTGTCCCCTTGTCTCCTGAACTTTACTTACATAGACATGCCTATTCTCTGTAAAAGCCAGTTTGGGATGGGTATTGGGCTTTGTTTTGGAAAAACTATGTGCTAATTCCTAGACCTCCACATATTTGGCGAAATGACTCCCAGGCTCTTTAGGCTTTGTCCTTTGACCTGGCTCTCCAGATAGGTTGTGAAGAATTCCAGAGAGTCTCTGTTGGGTCCAGAGTGGGGGAAGGCCAACTGTTATCTACCACAGACTGACAAAGACCCCTGGGCACATAGGGAAATTCTGTAGGCTTACGATGAGCTAAGATTGTTTTCCTTGACTGTAGAGTTTGTTTCAATGTATTTATAGATCCAATTAAACATTGTTAGTCAATTCTGACTATGCCTTTCCTAATTGAGCCAAGTAGTTGGCTCTTTTTACATAATCATTCTTTCCCTGTCGCCATTTGGCTGTAGACTCTTTGTCTTCTTGTTTTAAATTCTCCTCTGGTATAATCCATGGGACTGTGTGATTCTTGATTCTCTCTGAAACTAGTTAGCAGCCCAAGTCCATGCCTACTCAAGTTATGAAGGATAAATGTCAATTTTCTTCTGGGATATCAGTTGTAAAAAGTTTGGGGGTTCTTCTACGACACCCTTGAATAAATGACGTTTTGTCCCCCCCCCCCAAAAAAAAAATGTCTATAAAGAGAAGACAAAATACCAGGTCAGTTTGTTCAATTATCCAACAAATATTTAATGAGACTGTGTGCCAGACACCATCATTGGCTCTTTGAAGAAGTAAGGAATGATGTATAATTTATTCACACAGAAAGTTGTAGCATCTTAGCAGGTAGAACTAGTTGTCTGCATTTTATATAAATAATTCTTCCTACACTTAAATTCTTTTAGACCAAGAAATTCAACGTCTGAAAATGGGGATGGAAACTTTGCTTGTTGCCAACGAAGATAAGGTAAGATGGCCACTGAGCGGCCCTGTCCTTTCCCTGATGACTTTCCTGGTTCTCTTTGGTCCCTTCTGGTCTCTGATACTTTGGGCAGGGCTGTGCCCATCAGGACACTGACTCAGGGAAGTGTCAGGAGATCCGCCTCTGCTTCATAGAGACTCGGCTCAGTTACCTGCTTTTGACTTTGATGCCTGGGAGTTTTGCCTAAATGGAATCTCTCAAAGGCAGAATAAAGCCATGTCTGTTAAGGCTGGTTTGGGGGAAAAAATACACTGAGATTATTGCCTATGTCATAGCTGTTGCTCAGACTCCTAACAAAACTCGAGAGCCACCCACCAATCCCCCATGTTCATGATCTGGTGATAGACCCTTCATAAAACTGGCAACAGACCCATCAGCCTTCTTTGTTCTTCATGTTGAATCCCTACAATCCTAACATAGCCACCTCAATACTCTGTGCCAGAGTACCTATCTGGCACAAAGGTCCGCTCTAAGGATCACAGCCCTGCATTTTACAGACCAGGAAACCAAGACTCAAAGTGCTTGAGTAGTGTTGCCCGAGGTCAGGTAACAGCAGATAGCAGAGCCAAGGTCACACCCAAGTTTATCTACCTCTGAAATTTGTGTGTCATCCCAAGTCCCCAGCCTTTGCTGGGGAAGCATTGATCCCCTCCGGGAATTTTCTCTGTTATGTAAGGAATCTCAGACTCCTCAGGTATTGAGATAAAGACGACAGCTTTATTTTAGTCTTTTTTTTTTTTTTTTTTTTGCATGTAGCTCCAGAGGACAAGGGGCTTCCCATGTGGCTCAGTGGTAAAGAATCCACCTGCCAAGCAGGAGACACGGGTTCAGTCCCTGAGTTGGAAAGATATGCTGAAGAAGGAAATGGCAACCGACTCCAGTATTCTTGCCTGGGAAATCCCATGGACAGAAGGAGCCTGGCGGGGCTACCTTCCATTGGGTCGCAAAGAGTCAGACATGACTGAGCGACTAAACAAACAACTAGAGGACAATACTTGGACCAGGAGGCAGATTTCAATGGCTACATCAGGAGGGTAGGGAGACAGATTCCTGGTTCAGGAAATGTTTGAGCCATTCGAAGGCTGTGTCAAACAGGGATTGTTTTATAAGTAGATACCGGACTCATAGCCTTCGGGGAGAGCAGGAGTGCTTACGGCAGCCGAGGAGGCAGACCACTGAGAACCCAGGGCCTGGATACTCTGTTTCCCTTTGAAGTGTTCTAGAGGTTCCACATAGCTTTTCCTTTCCTTGTGCCCAGAACATAGCCTGGGCCCCAAATCAAATCACCTCAGGTGCCAGCGTTGTTGTTTACTTGGAAATCTGTCTTGCCCTTGACAGGACCGTCGGATAGAGGAGCTTAGTGGGCTGTTAAACCAGTACCGAAGGGTGAATGAGATCGTGATGGCAACCCAAGGTAAGCGCAGTGGGGAGCTTACCATCCTCTCCCCAAGATACTCCATCTCCACTGTGTTAAATGCCGGACAGTCCTGCCAGAAGAGTCTTCATCTTCATTTGGAAAAATGCTCTGCAGGAAGATGGAGCTGGTTAGACTGCCCTGGGTGGTGGGAAATTGGCAGCTCTTGATTTCCAGAAATTTTGTCAAATGGCAGACAGTTCAGAACTTCCAAGGACTAAATTTCCAGATCATCAAGAAAAGAAAGCCACCAGCTTGAACCATTGGGAATCCCTACCGTTAGGATATCTATGCATCTCCCTGGCATACTTCTTAGAGGCAGCGAGTGTTCTCAAACCTGGATCCGAAGGCAATTTAGTACCCTCACTGGGATTTAGAGCCTGTCCACCTCCAGGAGAATCTAAAAGCATCCCTAGCTGTTGCCAGGACACTTGGAGAGCCTTCTTTGAGTTTCTGGGTGCTTGGGTTCCCATAGGAAGTCACGGGGCAGGGAGAGTTGTTTGTGTTTGATACTTGCTGCCCAGACTGAATGCAACACTCAGGCAGCATCCGTGTTGTTGGACCCCCTGGGGCATATGCCCGACTGCCTGCCTTGTTGGTCACACCGTTGACCCTTGTTGGTCCCACTGTTGACCCAGACTCCTGATCCCGATCCCGAGGAAGCAGCTGTTTCACAGGAGAGGCTGCTGAGGGTGCTCAGAACCTCTCATTCAGGCTCAGCTGCTGCTGCCTCTTGGGGAAAAGCCAACCCCTAGCTTGGGTTGTGGCTGACGGGTTGTCACCCAGGACCACCGCCAGCCCTGCACACATGTCACAGGCTAATTTCCTCTAATCCTTTTGGATCTTGGGACAGGTCAGGGCCTGAGTGCCAGCGGCCAAGGAATGAGAAGATTGAAGAGGAATAATTGGGGGGTGGGGACTTCTCTTGGTCCCCCAGCATGAGCTTTGACCTTGAAAGGCCTCCTGGAAGCCCTTGCTCAGATGCTCCAATGAATATTCTGAATCACACTTTTAAGGTCCCTTAATGTTTTTCTTTGTCCCTCTTAATGAAGGAGAGACAGTGTTTGAATTTTGTGGTTACAATTATAGGTTTTTAAACAAGCCATGTGGTGGTAATGATCTGCATTAATGCTTCCAGGGCCTTCAGAAAGAACTCTCTCAATCAATGAGGAAGAACTGGAGGGAAGTTTCAGGAACTGGAACGCTGCAAATAAAGGCCCCGAAGACCTATTTAAATCAGAGGTACTGTGTTTCCATTAATGATGTGGGGTTTCGGCAGGCCCTGGGAGCTTGCCCTGAACCTGGGGGAGGATATCTAATTAGGAACTTGCCAGGTATAAATCTTGCCAGGTATAAATCTTGCCAGGTAAAAAAATTGAATCAGTGGAGTCACCCCAGAGGCTTTGGGGAGACACTGAGGGTAGGAGGAGCCAGGGCACAGGCCTGTGTTCCTGTTGGAGAGAACAGCACAGTGGATACTAGACTTCTGAGGATAGGAATTTTCTTTTCTTTTCTAAACTTCGTTGCCATGAGGGCTTTTCTCTAGCTGCAGCAAGTGTGGGCGCCTCTCTAGTTGTGGTGTATGGGCTTCTCTTGTCTCATAGTACAGGCTCTAGAGCGCATGGTCTTCACTAGTCGTGGGGCATGGACTTTGTTGCTCCATGGCATGTGCAATCTTCCCAGACCAGGGATAGAACACATGTCTCCTGCATTGGCAGGCAGATTCTTTACCACTGAGCCACCAGGGAAGCCCCAACTTTTCTTTTTCAATTGGTTTCTTTGTTTATTTTTGCCTTTACTCTCTGGAATATGAGCATAGACCAAAGCGGTATTTTTATTTACCACTGTCTCTCCAGGATCTGCAGTGATGCCCGATAAGCAGTAGGATTCAACAAATATTTGTTTAATGAATGAATGCATCTTGCACATTTGGAGGGATAATGAACTTTTGGAGTGATACATTCCTATTTCACCGACAACCTCTCTTCCCTGTAGCCAGCATATAGATTTCCTTTTCTCTTGTTTAAAATTTGGTCCAGTTCTATGGCCGTCTCTGGACATAGTCTAGATAACACTGGGCAAATAAACTTGTAGTTACAGATCTCAGATGGAGGAGGGATTTCAGCCCAGAATTTTAAAAGTTCTTAAAACTCCAGAACAGTCACACTGAGGAGGGTCTTAGTCCAGCTCACCCCTTTTAAGTAAGGGAGGGGCAAATGTATCACCTGCTGGCCCAGTTAGGTAGTCAGAGCAAGCACCCCAGATTGCTGGCAATAATGGCAGTAACTGATATCCAGTACCCCTGAGTCACCCCTGTGATTAGCACTGTACGTGACTCACCTCATTTATGCCTCATGATACCCAACTGGGGGTTCCTCTCTTATTGTGCTGCAGCTGAGGCTCAGAGAGGGTAAGTGATCTGTTCTAGGCCACATAGCAAGTAGGTAGCAGAGCTTGGACTTGAACCCAACAGCTCAGGCTTTTAACAACACTATGTACTATGATGCCAGGGTTCTTTCTACGTAGCTCAAAAAGATACTGGGCTCCAAAGAAAGACAACCCTTAGAGTCAGTGAAGACATTAAATTGCATCCTTCTCTACCACCATTAGCTCACGTTCATTCCACCTGTGATACCTTTGCTTTTCTGACTTTCTTGCTAAGCCCATTCTAATCTCTCAAGATTCAGCTTAAGTTTCTCCCCTCTGAAGACTCCCTGACCGTCCCACCAATGAGAAGGGTCCCTTCTGTTCCCATATTCTTAATGTATTATAGGAGGTGTTGCATCGATCTTTTATCCTAATTGACTTACCCACCTCCCTGATGGCCTGGCAGGCAGTAGATGCTGCTCCTGTTTGTTGATTGACTGTATGAATTATAGTATTGCTCATTGCAAGCAGAAATCCACTCCGGCTAAGTTACGTGAAGGAATGCTATTGAAAGGGTGCACAGTGGCTCGCTGAATGAAGGAAAGGCTCCGAACCAAGCTCAGAAGGGCAGGGCACAGGGATTTGGGTGTCAGGACTAACTTGTCAGGACTCTACTGCAAGGATGTGAGCTTGGGCTCTAGAAGGACAGGCAAGTTGGCATGGCTTTCAATATAGCTTTCTTGTTGGCATCTTAAAAAAGCAAGGCACCAGTATTGTAGTCCCTGTGGCTATACCCAGAGCAGGAGATGTACCTCCTCAGGAGGAATTGTCCAAACAAGGGGAAAGGATGGTGGCCGGTCTCCAGGCAGGAACTGTTCTTTCCAGTGACTCTTCTGGTTCCCATGCAGGTGTCTCCAAGAGGCAGCTCTCCCACGGCGGGGCCACCCCCACTACCGCAGAAATCACTGGAAACCAGGTAGGAGGCCCAAGCGTTTCTGTGGAGCTGCTGTGCTCTCAGGCCCCCTTCGGGGCTCCAGACGAGGCAGTGATCACAGCCACCATGTCCTGGGCCCACCTGCCCTCCCATAGCCAGGGCAGCACTCCAGGCCCCAGCAGCGGCCACAACGGGGCCAAAACGGTGGCGCAGTCACGAACCATGCCCACCTCCCCTGTCTGCAGAGGTGGGGGGGCTTCCCTCCCCACAGGCCGAGGGTCCGGGTTCTTGTCACTGAGCGGAGACCTGGCCAGGGCTTGGGGCCTCGGGGAGGAGGGGGCTGCACCTTCTCTGTGCCCTCCGGGGGCTCCTCAGAGCGGAGAGCACCCCGTGCGGTGTGCCTGTCATTCCCGCCAGCCCCTCTAGAATGTCCCTCCCGCTCTCAGAGGGAGTCCAGCCCTGAGACAATAATCCACTCTCTCCAGGGAGGGCCTTTTCTCCTCACAGGGAGGTTGGGCCAGTTGCTCTGAGGAAGCTTCACATAGCAATGAGCTTATTGTGGGCTGGCCTATGTGGTCACCAACTGCCTCCTGACTGATACCCTCGAAAATGAACCACTCCTAGTTGACGAGGTCAGCTCTTCAGAACACCTTTCCAAGGAGCCGGGATGTGGAGCTCCACAGCCAAGGGCAGGCTGTCTTTCAGCCAAGTGGCGGGAGTTTGCCCAGAAGGGCACTGAGACCCCAGAGACTGGGTGCTCAGAACCCCCCATTTTCCATAAAGCCATTGTTCCTGAGCTGTTAGCCTCAGAGGAAAGCAGTCATGTCAAGGATGGCGACTGCCCCATTCTTAATTTTGCAGAATAAGAAATTTGGTTGATGAGTTCACTCAGAATGAAGTCAACATTGAGTGACTCACACTGACTAGACTCATAAGAGACTAATGTACCAACCAATGCTGATTTATTCATATGAACTGAGAAATATCACTGCCAAGGAGACTTGTCACAGATAACCCTTGTGACTATGGGTGGTGTTGCTGCTTCTCTATCCAGTTGGTTCCCTTCACTGCAAAATAGTGCCCGAGAAAGCCGATTCCTCTGAGCAGACTGCTCAGTTCTCACAGAGTTGGAGCAGAGGGACAGAGGATCCCAGTGGGTAAAGCTCTGGCGCTGTGGCCGGCGTGCCCATCTCCACTCCCTCCACTCCTGCCCCCTGGATTACTCTCACACTCACAGGCAGGGCAGTATTGGCCCCTTCCCCTCTCTTTTTGACTCCACAGACATGGACCTCTTAGGACCACACAACAGCCAGCACCCATTGATGCCACTGGATTGTGTATTCTTGTTTCTTTGAGGACTGCCTAGGATTTTTGATTTGGATTTCAGTGATGCTCTCATGCATCACAAACACACTGTCAGACCAGGCCATCCCCAAAGTGGGCCAGTCTCATCTTATGTGTGACCAGTTATGATGAGAGGGTGTTGAGTTTTTCCTGACCTTGACTCTGAGCCCAAGATAGAATACCAGTTAAACATTGAAATGTCCTCTGCATGAATGATACTATGTTCCTCCTTCTCCAGTAACGGTTTCCTTTTTTATTTTCTTTTGTGTTTTTCCAGGGCTCAGAAAAAACTCTCCTGTAGTCTTGAAGACTTGAGAAGTGAATCTGTGGACAAGGTCAGTCCATCAGTCTATCCATAAAGATGACTGAGTTATTTCTTTGAGGTCAGCACAGTGCTGGGACACACAGGTCAGGCGCTGTCCCTACCTCATGGAGGCTTTTATCAAGTTGCTGGGGAGGCAGGAATTACATGAACATTTTGAGAAAACAGGTCAGCTATGGCCCAAGGCATCCTAGAGGCAGGGTGAGTCAGAACATGCTGCCTGGAGTTGATGAGAAAAGATGCTGAGATGGGCGTGGGCAGGTTTGGGGAAATGGTTTGGGGAGCAGGAGGAGGTAAGGTCGGAGGCGGGAGTCAGAGGAGCCAGAGTTCTTAAATCCTGGCCCTATTTCCCCAGGGCACTTGGAGTGTTGCAGAGGTTTTGAATGAGGATATAATATGGATAAAGGAGATGACCCTGGAAGTGGGTTATGGAATAAAGTAGAAGATTGGAGAGGAAGCTTCTTAAAGAGTCTAAATAGACATGAGGCGGGCTTTGTGGCTCCTTATGTGGGGCTAGCCCTTGACCACATGGGTGCCCCTGTGCTGGAGAGGAGGATCGCAGATTCTTGGGCAGCGAGGTCACTGGACACACAGGGGTGCTGCCCTGTAGAGCACCCCAGTGACCTTACTGCATCGATCCCTTGGGGTCCAGCAGTGGGCCCGGCCCCCTGGTGGTACAGTGTGAAACCAGGAAGGCAGGAGCCCGCAGCGGCTTTGTTCCCATCACGTGCCTCAGGCTCCCTCCGGTCAGATGGCAGCAGCTGCCTGGGATGTCTGTCCATGCGCTTGGACAGTGACCTGTGTTCCCTCCACAGATTGTGTTGATCTGACATAGAGATGGGGAGGGAGGGAGGGGTGAACCTTGCAGATTCAGGCCGGCAGGTGGCCCTGAGTTGCTGCCATGACTAATGCAGGTCTCTTTCTCTCCGCATAACTGAAATCCTCCTTGCCATCCCATAGTGTGTCGGTGCGAACCAGCCCTCCCCAGTGGTAGAACCCAAGGTATTATACATTAACTGCATGTCCCTGTTGTCTGTATGAGGCTGCGCTGTTTGCTAGTCTTTTTTTGAGTGTGAAAACTCACAGAATTTTATTCTAAAATCCTGAAGTTGACTGTGAAAGTAAAATTTTTATATGTTTAAAAAATTTATAGATTATATGACTTGCAGTTTCATAAAATTATCAATGGATGTTCTACCCACGGTTTAACATTAAGTAGATTGCTAGGCAACATATCATAAGTGAACAAGGCCCCTGAAAGTCACAGATGTCAGTCACAAAAGTAGACACTTACTGATGGCAAACTGAGTGAAGATTTCAGTGTGATATTCTAGAAGCCCAAGACCATAAACCACTCTTTCTATACACAGCTCTACACACAGAGCTTTGTGTGGAATCTCTTAGGTTTCCATCTGGCACATCCTGTATCACCTGATGTGTAAAATCAGTTCCGACATATGCAAAAAGTTGTACTAATTCACAAAAATGTATTCACAAAAATGGCACAAAAGTGAATTCAACAGGTTATGCATATACATACTTCATTTGCATCTTCAACAAAACAAAAAGATATTCTAACACTAGAGAAGTGAAAAACACTAGGTACCATGGGCTCTCTTGAGTAAGTATCAGTGTCACACAAAGTTATACAGGAATGGGGAAATATTGCCCAAGGAAAAAAATTCTATTTTAAAAAATGAAACAAGTTTAAGGGAAATCAAGTTCAACTATAGAGATACAAGTCTTTCACATTTCACATTGCTAGTCTTTTCATTTAGCAAGTTACAGCTTTAGTAACCTTAAAATATGTTACCAGTAAGGGGTGAAAGGAAAGATGAAACTTCCCCTCCTGCTTTCTTCTTCCGTGCCCTCAGCTGGATCCTGCGCTTTCATCTCCCTTATCTGTGCAATAGGACTTCTTATCTTCCCCGTCTTATAGGCTCTGGGAAATCCATCTTTAAGGCAGAGTTGTTCTGATCTCTGGGGAGGAAGTTGTTATGATCTCAGCACACAAGCAGAGGAGCGAGACAGCTCTCGTCCTTTCTGTAGTGATGTCATGGTTAAAACACCCAAGGGCTCACTCAGTGCAGGGGCATGGATCCTTCTGCAGTGTCCCCGCACAGGGGTGTCTGGCCTTTGCTTTCTGACTAAGAGCTCATGACATTGTAAGACACCCTCTGTATTCTTCTCCAGCCCTGTTAGATGCATGTCTGGACTTCCCTTGAATGTGCCTCCACTGATGGGCTCTCCCTGTGGAGTCCATGCAATGAGTCAGTCTCCCCTGCTCCTGACAGCTCTGGAATTGGAGTGCTTCAGGCCCTCTCTCAGTTATCATCTTCCCCTGTGCACAGCTCATAGACCCTTAATGGTCCTATTCCATATCCTTGGAGCAAGCAGTGAGTCCTCTATGTCGTGCCTGGACCACACTAGCCCCCATGTAGATGGGGTCTGCCCCCTGCCTTCCTCGCTCCAAGGACTGATCTTGCCGTTACTGCTGTCACTGTAGACCTCGGGTGTGTGATATTCTCTGTGCCTCTGTGTCCTTGTGTGCTAGGCCAGGGGCAGGAATTGTTGTTCTCTGTTTAGAAACAATAAAGTTGAGGTTCTGGGGGACTAAAGAGAAAGAACTTGGCCCAAGTTGGTCTGACTCCCAGCCTAGGCTCTCCTGCTCAGGTGCGCTGCATCTGTGCTCTTTCAGGGGAGCGGGGTCATCGGCCGTCTGCTGCTCCTTGCCTGGGATTTCCATCACCCTAACGAGGGTCATTCTTCTCAGAGACTGCAATGCAGGAGTGGCTTCGGGCATTTCTGTTTCCCCTGTGTTGTGTCCTGATGTTGCATCACCTTCTCCAGCACTGAGTCCTTCCTTCCCAGCATCTCTTCTTGGCTGAGCAGAGCTGAGAGCCCTTTCTGGTGCCCTTGGTTCTTTTACTGTCTCTTTCACATACCTGAGCTGCCTTTGAAGCCATCTTACACAAGCTTCTGCCCTCTGTACGTCTCAGCTCTTCAGCAGGCTCCTAGGGTAGCCCACATGGGTGTAGCCTTGGCTGTCTCTGCCCTGTCTTAGAGGAGTGTGTATGATGATACGACCGGATGCCTGTTTCTGAACCTTTCCCCATTCCCATATCTCTTGTATAATATGGAACTTGGAGTCATGCCCTTCAGTTCTCGAAAATTTGTGAATGCCGCCTTCCCCACAATCAGTGGTTCCCGGGTCTGACTGTACGTCAGAGTAATCTGAGATGCGTGTTAAAAACACAGGCTCCCAGGCTGCACTCCCAGGGGGGCTGATTCATGGGTGCGGTGGGACCTGGGCTTTTATATTTACAAGTGTCCCAGGTGATTATGAACCAGCCTGTGTGGGGGCCGGTATTTGGAAACTGTTGCTGTTGACCACAAGTCTTAACAGGTCCAATCTGTCCCTCATGGGTCATCATGAACTTAAAAACTGTGTGATCTCCATCTCTTCAAGTTCCAGTTATTTCTTCTTTACCAGCCAGTTCCTTCAGAATCCCTTGAAAAGTTAGCCCATTATTCTCATCTCTCTCCTGAGCTGATTTATATAGGATTAGCATTCAGTTTTCAATGACCAAATTGAATTTCAAACAATTTCTAAGGCATGCCTTTATAAGGAAACTGAATTCAGAAATTTACTGGGCACTTGGCTTTTAACTAAATGAAAGATATCGCAGTCACTGAAGTCTCCCACTACTCTTCTGACTTGTTCTTTTTGAAATTGGTTTCATCTTTCTTCTTTTCTACTTCTGCATCTCATCAAGTGATCCACAGTTGATTCCCTTGGTAACATTGCTTCAATTTCTCTTTTCTTTTCACTCAAGTGAATTTACTACTGTGTTTCCCTCAGGTTTGTGGGTTTAGGGCCCATTAAATCCTTGTTGACCAAATAAGTGCAATTCTTTTTTTTAAGTGCAATTCTTCTTCATCTCGAAATCAACTTTTCTTTTTGGGACCCTTTCCATGGCCAGAGTCTGAGTACAGGGCCCACTGCCCTGGGGCTGAACCTCTTGCAGACTGTGATCCCAAGTTCCCAGGGAATTCCGTGCTGGTGGGTGGCCCTCTGACCCGCTTTCTATGGACACCTCCCTGACTGTGTGCTTACCTTCTCACTTCACCTTACCCTGCTATCTTTTAGAGTAACTATTGTGATATATAAATACGATCAATAGATAATATTCTCTACTAAGGTGAAACAATAGGTATAACATTTATTGGAATTCTGGCTTGTATGCCCAGAGAGCTTGAAGGGTAATTCTCGGCTGTTGATTCCTTAACCTCTAAGCACAAGGCCAGATGGCAAAGGCTTAGCCTCCTGTTCAGACATGGCTTCCGTCAGCCCTCAACTCAAGCTTGACTCTGTCCCCATCTCGCTATGCGGCTTTGGGCAAGTTTCTTTCTTTCTTGGAGCTCTGGTCCTATTGCCTGGCCTGGACTAAATGACCTTTGAGGGGTCTTTGAGTTGGCCTCCATTTACAAATGGTTCTTGGAGAATAGGGAGTTGTTCCTGCATCCAGAGATTTCCTAACTGGGCTTGAGGTGGAGAGTGACAGCTAATTCAACATCTCCCTCCCTCTTCTTCCCTTAGGATGGCCCTTTCCTGGCGGAGCACAAGTACCCCACGTTACCTGGGAAGCTTCCAGGAGCCACGCCCAATGGAGAGGCTGCCAAGTCTCCACCTACCGCCTCCCCAGTGGACCCTGCAGGGAGCAGCCCGCTGAGGCTGAGTGAGTGTCCAGACCCCAGGCTGGTGGCTTCTGGTGCCTCGGCCTTGGCACTTCCATTGTTGCACGAGGTCCCTGCACCCTCCCCACCACAGCCCACAACTGGAGAGCAGTGGGGGTGGGTGGATGGGACTAGTCATACCTCAGGGTGATCCCATGTCCGGAGATGATGGCTGTCTTTCTGGGCTCACTATTACCTTCCAGAAACACCCCAGACCCCAGAGAATCAGGGTGTGTACCCACCTTCTTTCCACCTGTAATTATTCTACCCCCATTTTCTCTTCTCCTCTGTTCCTCCTCTCTTGACTCCTTCCTGATCTTCCTATTTTTCCTCTTTCCCTCCTTGCTAGACACCACACTCCACCCTCCCTGACCCTCCCCATTCCTCCTCTGTCCTCCTGATCTCTTTCCTGTCTCTGCCTTCCTTTCTGCAGCCTCCCTCTTACCAGCAGGGTGATATTATGTGCTCTTCCAAGGAAGAGCATTTCCTCAGAGAAGTGGAGTCAGTGGTCAGTGGGCAAGGATGCCAGTCCACCAGTAGCCTTTTGGTGCTTAGGATCTGATGGAGGTCTTTGCACAACAGGCTGTATTTCTCCAATAGCAGCAGCAGATCAGGGGGGCCTAGAAGGGAGCATTCTGGGCCTGACAGAGCTTTCCCCACCCCTGATTCCTCATCCCTGGCTGTTCCCAAGCCAGCCAATGCACAGGCTTCTGCCTTTGGCTGCAGAAACTCCAGATAAGCCCTTGAATGAATGTGTCCTAGCGACACTCAGGCTGTGGACTTTCCTGCAGCTTTGGATCATTGTAGTCTGCTCTGAGTGAGCTCTGGCATGTGCATAAGAGCAGTGGGCAGCCTGGCATATTTGGCCCCCACAGCTGCCCCTCTCCCTCCATGTGTGGATGCCTTACCTGCCAGGAAGTGGCCCCAGGAGCATTCGGTCCCCTCTCACTGCAGTGACCCTGCAGATCAGGCTCAGTCACCCTTCACCCCCACCCTTCCTTGTGGGATTATTTTCCTTTCTGTCTGAGTTTTTCCCTCTTGCTCGATGACTCTTGTTTATTTCTTTGCTTCCCTATAACTGTTGGGCTGGACTTTGGCCTCTCTTGCTTCTTCATGTGGCTTCTCTGCTTCTTGGTTGGCTGGAGACCGTGGCCGGAGTGTCAGTGCCCCTGTATTAGGTACTGTACCCTTCCAGGTGAGGTGGAGAGTGAGACGCCCTTGCTTGCCTCCCGGGACACCCTCCCTTTCCCAAACATTCAGCCAGGTTCCCCTGCTGCCTGCACTCCCGCGTCTCCCTGGGGGGAGAGAGAGGAAGCTCCTTGCTGGAGTTATCCTGCAAGTACTGGGCCCCCATTTGAAGACATTTGCTCACCCAGATTTGAAGTCTTAAGCTCACCAACTCCCCAGAGAGAAAACCTGGAGTGTGCCTGAGCCCCTACTGGTCTCTGACATCTTGCTGTAAAGTTCTGCCCTGACAGCTGGGCTGGGCAGACTCTTCCCGACTCCCACTGAGGGAATGGCCCAGGCTCAGGGAGAAGGTTTGCAGAGGTCAGGTTCCTTCTTGTCATTCACTTGTCATTTCGTTCTTTCAATCTCAGGAGACACAGAAAGTGGCTGGGATGACACTGCCGTGGCCAATGACACATCCCTGTCATCGGGCACCGAGTCCAGCCCCCAGTCTCCCCTGACATCAGATGGTAAACGGAGCCCCAGAGGCATCAAGAAGTTCTGGGGAAAGTAAGTTGGTGGTGATGATCATTAATTACATTGTTTAGAATTAATATTCTTGGCTGAGCAGAGTGTCTCCATAACCCCCCCTGTTTAATTAGATGTTGGAACAGCAGTAAGTACACAGTGGTCACATGTAGAGAAAAGACTTTGAGTTATTTTTTAAGGCCCAGAGAAGGAGAACTATGAAAGGCACCCCTTAAGTATAGCCAGTTGCCTTACATGTCATTCATTTTGGGCATCAGTCCATCCCACAGACCCTGAGAACATCCTTTGCAGCTTATGTCTCATGTGCTTTGGAGAGATGCATGGCTGAGACCAATTTCTTCCTCCTCAGGGCTCAGTCTGTGTCTTAAGCGATCTTTGAAGATACAGTACTGAGTCTTTGCTGGCCTTGCTGACCCAGTCTACAAAATTAAGGCAGAAACTGGGGCCTCCTCCCAGGCAGCAACCCGCACTTTGACCCCCCAGGGCAAGAGGCCCCATCCCAGAGGCAGGGTTAGAGTTGAAGCTGGGTCTTGATGCTGGCCCTCACGGGAGGCATTGGGGAGCAGGGCCAAGCAGAGCCCTGGGTGTGGCTTGTGAGGCGCTGTGCAGGGGGAGTGCACTGACTTCGGGCTTCCAGCCTGCCCTCTGACGGCTTCTATGGATTCCTGTCCACACAGGATCCGAAGGACTCAGTCAGGAAACTTCAACACCGATGCCCCAGGGGTGGCCGAGTTTCGACGAGGTGGGCTCCGGGCAACTGCAGGACCAAGACTGTCCAGGACCAGAGATCCCAAGGCTCAGAAAAGGTAAGGCTCCCTCCAGGCCATCTGCAAAGAACCATTTAAAATCCTACCCAAGATGGAGTGGGGATGGGGGCTGGATGCCCCAGAGCCTCCAGAGATGGAAGGCAGGAGCCCCTAGCCCAGAGCTTCTTGGCCTATCCCTCTGACACGTGTGGACATTGCTCACGCTTATTTCTAGGTGCACTGAGGCAAAGGCAGGGGCTGCCTACAGCCAGGGTGTGGGGTGGGAGGCAGGCCTCCGGCCCCACGAGTAAACCTCAGTCTCCTGATCTATGAAGTGTGGGGTCAAAAACAAGTGCTTGTGAAAGTTCTTAGGAGGCTCACATGAGCTCCTACACATTTAACTGTGGCGTCAGCTGGCCACATTCAAGGGTCCCCTTCCCCAGGGAGACTGGTGGAAAGAGAGCACGGCCTGCCTCTGGGGCAGCCCCTCCTTTCACACAGACTTGCAAAAGGGTGAGGGGCAGCAGGCAGATCGGCCCTGATCCCTCATGACACATGGTACCAAACCTTTCTGCAGGGGCAGCTTGGAAGGACTTATAAAGGGATCAGAATGGGAAGTTTTTTCACAGCTGTTCCCATCACACCCAAATAAAAAAAGCATTAAAAAAAAAAAAGAAACTTTTCCAGAGACCACCCTGGTGGACACCCTCTCGCCACCAGCTTTATCCCCCCGCTTTCCCCAAATCTCCCTGCTCGGAGAAGAGCCTCTCCCTTCCGACCTGCCCAGGTGAACCTTTAGTCCTGTGTCTTAGGGAAACCCTTTTCCATAACCTCTGCTCCCGTCAGATGACCCCCTCAATATATCATCTCCCGTGGAATATCTCCTACTAAAGTCTGAGTTTCTCAGTCATGAACAGGCTCTGGGGGGCCCTTTCTTAAGATTGGACTGTGACATTTTAAATTTAGCCAAACAGTAAAAAGTAAGGATTTTTTTGGTTTTGGCTGTGCTGGGTTTTCATTGCTGCGTGTGGGCTTTCTCTAGTTGGAGTGAGTGAGGGACTACTCTTCACTGCAGTGCTCAGGCCTCTCGTGGTGGCTTCTATTGTTTGCTGAGCACAGGCTCTAGGTACACGGGCTTCAGTAGTTGCAGCACGTGGACTCAGTAGTTGTGGCGTGTGGACTTTAGGGTACACAAGCTTCAGTAGTTGTGGCGCATGAGCACAGTTGCTCCATGACCTGTGGAATCTTTCCAGACTAGGGATCAAACCTGTGTTCCCGGCATTGGCAGATGGATTCTCATCCTCTGTACCATCAGGGAATTCCAAAATGTAAGGTTTAACCCTCTTAATTTTCATCCCCCTGAGATTGTCAAGCGCCAAGTGCACGTAATGACTAAGATGTGCACAACTTGCATACTAATTCTAGTTACAACAGTCTAGACCTGAGTGAAGGGAGGGTGATGTTTCCCTGGTGTGGCATGCTGTTCTCAGACCTGCACCCCTGCGGAAGGGAGCACGTGTGGACGCACCCTGCTTCCCCACCCAGCCCCCTCAGGTTCCCAGGCCTTGCCAGGCTCTCCCATGTACACTGCCAGGACCTTTGGTGACTGGCCCCAGACCCATCCTCCAGATGTCTTACAGAGAAAACCCGAGGATGCGTAGCCCTCCCGGTCCTGCTCTGCGAGGGTCATGGATCTGTGTTTACCTTTCTAGTCAGAAATGTAAATGCTCAGCAAATGTTAGTTTTTAGAGGCTAGGAATCTAAGCATATGGTCTGAGAAGGCAGAAACCAATCCAGAGCCATTAGAAAATGAGCCACAGGAAGCTTTTCCACGTATTCCCTGAGTATTCTAGTCTACTTGGCAGTCTTCTGACCTTAGACATTAATGGTTCTGGGATGAAATGATAAAGCCACCATAAGCTTGAATGATGTAATTTTGTTCCACTTCTGGCTTTCCTTTGGATTTATTCTTGAAGAGGGGATCATTGGTTGGGTGTAAGAACTTCTCTAAGACCCTTAGGCGTTTTTCCTTAGAGCAGGACTGCATGGTTAAGGGGCCCATTCACCGTCTGCCAAGTCACTTTGGTGTGGGGAGGCCAGTGTGGGGAACTTTCTCTGCCAAAGGCAGAACTGCCGTTCCAACCACAGAGTTGCTTTGTTTGGATGTCTTTGTGCTTTGTTAACAGTAACAATGGATGACAAGGAGAATGGGAATGAAGGCCTGATGAGACTGTATGTTTATCACAGCTGTGCTTGTGCTAACAAAAATGAGCTTGCTGGTGGGAAAGAAAGGCCTTTATTACTCTTAAACAGAAATGTGATATAATTATATGCTAATACTCTCTGGCATTTATAGTTTATAGATATTTAGGGATAGCCTTTAAAAAATATTGTCACCAATATTCCTATAGGCAAAAGTTCATTGTTACTGAACGTCTCCAGCCCTAATCCTTTCTTTTTTTTCCAGTGGAACAGTTGTTTGCTAATAAAATATTTGATAATGACATTTCATAGGAACGCTCAGGTTATAGGAGAATCCATGTTTAAAGTTTTCCCTGTTTTGCTGATTTACGTTCCAGTGGACAGAGGAGCCTGAGTGGCCGCGGAGTCAGACATGACTGAGTGCCTCACACACGCACACCCAGCACTGCCGGACAGTGAGAGCTTGTTAACCTACAGCCTTGTCAGCGTTAACTATTTGCAGCTTTTCTTTGTTTAAACTTCCAGTTTCATAGGCGACCCCAAATTACATTCTTATTGTTAATTTTGTTTACATGCTTATTTCTTTTGTGAATTGTGAGCATTTCTGCCCATTTTTATTTAGCTATGAATATCTTTTAATTGGTTATTTAATTTCTATTTGTTCTTTATACAGTATAGTAAGATATTAAGCCGCATCTAAAAATTGTGATAGATCATTTTTCAGGTTTGTTGCAGACTTTACTTTGATATGTGAAATTTTTAGGTTTGTGTACAATAAGTTACCAACTTTTCCTTTGTGATATCTTTCATTATTTTGTTTTAAAATTTTTCAATGATTTTTTTTTAAACTGGTTTTAAACAATGAATTTTTCAAAAGTAATTTTTAAAAACTTCAAAAATCATCTATTTGGAGATTTATTTTGGTGTGCGGTGACAGTTTTCTCCCCAAGAAAAAGCAGAGTGTAAATGTTTAAGTCAGGCAGACTTTAAAGCCACATGTCTGGCCCCCATCGCTGGAGGGTTCTGAGTTCGTCTACAGAGTGTATTGCCTTAGTGACTCTAGCTTATGAGGAGTCTGATCAGAGTGCTTCCCTGCCTCAGACCCCCTTTCACTGCCTTTGTCCCAAAGTCATTTACTTGTCTGGGCCCCTTCCACAGTCCAGAGAGGGTCTACCCAATGTACTGACAAAGCCATGTGTTTTGAAATTTTTTCATAAGTAAGACACTTCAAACACAAACAGTTTTGAGACTGCTGACTATTCCAACTTTCTCTTGGTCTACACTTAGACTAATATCAGATGACAGTGGAATAGCCATGGGCATTCTTGGGATCTGATTTAGGGGAAGTTGAGTTGGGAATCCATTAAGTTTGGGTTTGGTGGAATTACGTTTATGTGGTTTGCAGTCACTTCATGTTTAGTTTACTAAGGTTTCATTAATTAGCTGTCCTACTATAAAAATGGCTTCCAATGTGCCAGTGTGCCCAGCACTCTGACACAGAGATTCAAAGTCCCAGAGCTCGTTCCAAGACGAACTTGTCCTCTGGCATTTGGTTTCAAAAGTATGGGGTAGTGGGAAAAGAAAGAACATTTGAAATATACAAAACCAGAAGCTAGTCTGTGGAAAGTCTTTCCAATCATCAGATTTGCAAAATCCTAAACAGGAGATTTGGTTCTCTTGGTGCTTATTCAAAACAGAAGTCCTCTAGTTTCAGAAAAGGACTAATGAAATACACACAATGATAAGTGCGCCCTGAGTTCTCCATCTACTATGGGAATGGCCTGTTGGATAAATTGCACTTACATCATTTTAACTGCAATTCGGAAAGATGTTTTGGAACATGTCAGTAAAATAAGTGGTTTGACTGTATATGAAAGGTACTTTTCTGTCATCTCTAAATCACTTAACACCATGTTCAGCCCCGGACAAGAGTATGGGAGACCCTGGCACTGACAGAACCCCAGGAGGTGGGAAGGTTGGGTTTGCTACTGTGGGAATGCCACAGGCTTAGGAGAGCAGAGACCATTCACAAAGCGAGAAATGGGAAGATGATGAAGGGTAGAGGAGCATGTCAGAGCTCTAGGATGTTTTGAAAAGGTCTACAGGACAGAGGTATTCAAATTACTGTCTCAAAAACACTTATTTCACCTCAGAACTAAAATGTCTCTCTGATATATAGAACATTTGTTTCTTCCCAATTCCCAGAAACTTAGAAACTAAACTTAAGAGCTAATAGAATGTGAAATAAAAGTGATAAAGTAAGCACTGAAATTAAAAGAAACTATTCAGATATTAAGAAAAATATATACACAAAAAATCCCAGATCAAACCAAATGCAATAATTCACCAAGAGCAACAGATAAATTTCAAACAAAAATAGTGAATTTTGTTGCTCAGTTGCTAAGTAAGCCATGTCTCACTCTTTGCAACCCCCATGAACTGCAGTACGCCAGGCTTCCCTATCCTTTACTGTCTACCTGAGTTTGCTCAAACTCATGTACATTGAGTCAGTGACGCCATCCAACCATTTCATCCTCTGTCACCCCCTTCTCTTGCCTTCAATCTTTCTCAGCATCAGGGTCTTTTTCAGTGAGTCAGCTCTTCGCATCAGGTGGCCCAAGTATTGGAGCTTTAGCATCAGCATAAGTCCTTCCAATGAATAATCAGGGTTGATTTCCTTTAGGACTGACCGCTTTGATCTCCCTGCTAAGGAACTCTCAAGAGTCTTCTCCAGCACCAGAGTTTGAAAGAATCAATTCTTTGGCGCTCAGCCTTCTTTATGGTCTAACTCTCACATCTGTACATGACTACTGAAAAAAACCATAGGTTTGACTAGACGGACCTTTGTCGGCAAAGTGATTTCTCAGCTTTTCTTCTAGAAGCAAGTGTTTTTTAATTTCATGGCTACAATCATTGTTGGCAGTGATTTTGGAGACCAAGAAAATAGTCTGTCACAGTTTCCATTGTTTCCCCATCTATTTGCCATAAAGTGATGGGACCCAATGTCATGATTTGCAGTTTTTTGGTGTTGAGTTTGAAGCCAGCTTTTTCACTTTCCTCTTTCACTTTCATCAAGAGGCTCTTTAGTTTCTCCTTGCTTTCTGCCATTAGTGTGGTATCATCTGCCTATCTGAAGTTGTTATTTCTCCCAGCAATCTTGATTCCAGCTTGTGTTTATCCAGCCGCACATTTTGCATGATGTACTCAAAGTAGTGAATAGGTTCCTTGATTGTTCAGTAAAGTGAATCATATGAACACATTGGCAAAAGATGAAAATTTCTTGATGATTTTACATGATATACTTACTTTGACCAAGATGATGTTGCCTAATATGCAATAGCAACAAGAACATTAAATAAATGTCAATTCAAAAAATATTTAAGATAAACACCTAAAAGCTTGAATGCTGTGGAATTTTATAGGTCAAATCTAAAGGACACTTGATTGTTTTCCTAAATTTAATGCTTCTAAAATTGTATTTAACAATACCATTTTTAAACTGTGAAGCTGAAAGTTTTTTTTAAAAACTATCAAAATAACAAATATTGGTCCATTGTGCTAGAAGGAAGGTGGAATTAAGCTTCTCATAGAAAATACAGCCCTGCCCGACCCACAGATTCAAATAACCACAGATCAGATTTCTACTGGTTGAACCCATGGATGCAGAACTCACAAATACAGAGGGCTGAGTGAACTATGCCATTTTATCTCAAGGGCTTGAGCATCCCTGGATTTTGGTGTCTACGGGGTCCTGGAACCAACCCCCTAGCAGATACAGAAGGACAGCTATGTTATTGAGTTGTTGACATATGAAGCAAGCAGAGAATACCAAATATGAAGGTAAAGCACTATAGAAGTATATTTGGAATTAATAAAAACTTTATTTTTCTGGATTCCATGATATTTTTCCATTTTAGTTAGATTTGTAACTTCTGTGATTTTTTTTTATTCTAAATATGGATTTTGTTCCTAATTTTGTATTCAAATTGTGTATTCACATATTCCACCTGCATTCAATTCTTAAAGAGGTCCTGCCCTAACTTTTATAAGGTTTCAAAAAACCTAGATCTGTGCTTATTCATGATTCATTAAAAACCTAGGCTCCAGGCTGAGTGACCAGCACCTGCTCTCAGGTGCACATCATCTCCTGCTTGTTCCAACATGGTGCTTTCTGGTCATCCTCTTTTAAGAAATTCTCTCACTTTCAAGGAATTTTTAAATGCCTCATTCAGGCATTTAAAAAAGAATTGTTTTTTAACCAGCATTTTAGAAGTACTATCTTAGAAGCAATCTTTTGGAATAGCCAGTCTTCTATATTCCGTGAATCCTCCTTTATTTTAAAAAAATGGATATGAGGTTGCTTTGTCAACCTCCCCAGTACCCCTCACAACTCAACTGGGATTTGAGTGTGCCATTATATTCAGACTTTAAATGAAAAATTGATGCCTTTAAGAATTGATGGCTTTGTAAAACCCAGGCTTCCTGTCTAGGAACATGATCTAGCTCTTCATTTATTCATGTCCTTTTTATATTGCTCAGTTGAGTATCATAGTTACCACCTCCCCCATCCCCACACACAAGGACCCACTCAATTCTCGTAAAGGCAGCTCTTAGACATTTTATAATTTTGGTTGCTATCAGTGGGATTTAAAATTATTATAACAAAAATATTAGTGTTTGTGCGTTGGTATATAGAAAATTACATGTCATGTAAATATTAGGAGTATGTGTATTTTATAACTAGCCACCTTACTGAGTTCTCTTGGGTTTTCTAGGTAGACAATCATGTCATTCTGAAAAGAGTGGTTTTATTTCTACCTTTCTAATAGCTATATTTGTGCTTTTTATTTTATCTTTTCTTATACTCACTGCAACTCTAACCAGTGTTACTAGTGTGATAAAAAATAGTCTTTTTATTGACTTTAATGTGACTGCCCTAGTATTTCATTAGTAAATAAGATTTTAACTATTGATAATCAGAGATTTTTGTTCTTCTGTTAATGTTTGCGTGCTGATAGTCTTTCTCCAGTTTTCTAAGCATTTTCGTAAAAATGATATTAAACACTGTGTAAAACATGATTCAGGTGTGGATCTAAATCCTAATGGGGCTGTGACTCTTGGCTTTGGTTCAAGTGTGTATGTATGTGGACTGCGTGTTCGTGTGAGCACAGCTTCCTGTGTATATGTGTGTTAAATCCCTCAGTCATGTCCGACTCTTTGCAACACCATGGACTGTAGCCCTCCAGGCTCCTCCAGGTAAAAATACTGGAATGGGTTGTCATTTCCTATTCCAGGGGATCTTCCCAACATAGAGATCAAACGCATATCTGCTGTGTCCCCTGCACTGGCAGGCAGATTCTTTACCACTGCGCCATCAGTGAAGTTCTTGAGCACAGCCTCCTGAGGCACATGTAACTGCCCCAGGCTCTCAGCAGCTGCAGATCTGAGATTTCCACCAGGTGTTATCCCAGGAAACTCAAGACTCTGTCTTGAATGAGTATGTTGTGGTTCAACTGGATCCCATTATGGGGTTGTTTATACCTAGTCCGTTTTCATGAGGCCCCATTTGTTCAGATGGAGCCCAGGCCCTCACGCTAACAGGGTCCTTTCCTGCTTCCAGTGATGCCAACGCCCCCTTTGCCCAATGGAGCACAGAGCGTGTGTGTACGTGGCTGGAGGACTTTGGCCTGGCTCAGTATGTCATCTTTGCGAGGCAATGGGTGACTTCTGGCCACACATTACTGACAGCTACCCCTCAGGACATGGAAAAGGTACGGGCTGAGCCCTGGGCAAGGAGGCTCCTACTTCTCCCCAAACTAATGCATGGGAAGATGAACTCCCCCCATTCCTTCCCACCCACCACCCCGACAACATGCCCACATGTAGGAAGATGGGCAAAGGAGGCCAAGATTCTGTCGCTGTGGGTTGATCCCAGGGCGGTGGGCAGAGGTCTGCTCCACCCATTGGAGAATCTCCACCCAGACACAGGAGCCTCTGAGAGCTGGGCTGCCTGCCGAGATTTCACATCTGTCTCCATCTTTCACTTTCAGGAGCTAGGAATTAAGCACCCTCTTCACAGGAAAAAGCTGGTTTTAGCAGTGAAAGCCATCAACACCAAGCAGGAGGAGAAGTCTGCACTGCTGGACCACATTTGGGTAACACGTAAGGACAGGCAGATGTGTGTATGTCTCTGGCAGCTCCCTGGGAATGTGTGCCTCAAAGGCAGCTGTCTCCTTGGGGTGGCTAAACTTTAGGGGAAACACAGCTGGAACTTGAATGATAATTTGCTGCTGCTTTCTTTTTATGTTTTTTTTTGCATCCACAGTCTCCCATTTTCACAAATCTCACTTCCCAATTTCTGTAGGTTGGCTTGATGATATTGGCTTACCCCAGTACAAAGACCAGTTTCATGAATCCAGAGTCGATGGGCGGATGCTGCAGTACCTGACGGTGGTGAGGACCTTTCCCCTAGTGTTTCAGTCGTCACCGTGAGCACCCAGCTCAATGCAGGCGTCCCCATGGAGGTTATTTTACACTTGATTCCACCACCTCTGGCATATCCTTAAGGTCTTAAAACAGTGTCATTTGTCACATAAGACGCCCCAAGTAGCAAAGTACAAACCATTGTGCCAAGGAGAACTGTTGCCATATCCGTGTTGTTTTGTGTGGTCTGGAAAGGCTCCTCGTGGGATGTGTGTCACTTCAGAAGCTCTGGTTCATGCACCAAAACTTTGTTCTTCCAGAATGATCTACTCTTCCTAAAAGTCACCAGCCAACTACATCATCTCAGCATCAAATGTGCCATTCACGTGCTGCACGTCAACAAGTTCAATCCTCACTGCCTGCACCGGCGGCCGGCTGATGAGGTAAGGGCAGGGCGCTACCTGTCCAGGTAGCCCTGAGCCAGGACACCTGTAAGATAGGGCGTTAGAAAACCAGGGCATTATCGTCACTAAGTGGCTGCGTTTGGGACCACGCTGTGGATTCTTCCCTTTGCTGGGGCTTCATGGTGCCCCAACATGCCTGTGGCCTGAACTCTGCCCCATCGCAGCCACTGTACCGCCAGCGTCCATCTCCCTGGGGGAAGATGCATGCTATGAGCCGGAGGGCAGTGGCAGCAAGTCTTTTAAAGACATGATGATTAAAGGGGATGAGGAAGTGGAGCAAAGGAGAGAGAGGGAGAGGGGAGAGAGACAAAATGGAAAGATGGTATCAAAGTATGCAGAGGAGTGGAAAAGAGCCTATGAGGAAACCAGGTACTTCAGAATCTCTGGGTAGGTAGAACATTAACTGGCCTCCAGATTCACAGGGAATCCATGAGCAGGTTTTGCTAGAGAAGAAACAGTAGAGGTAAACACAGCAACCCGCATCCTGGGGAATCCCCTGATAATCTTCCATGAACCTCAGAGTTCTTCTACAAGATTGTCGGTAATACCCTGCCTCCTGTGTTCTGGGAACAAGTCTAACCCTGCTTTAAGAGTACTACTCAGCTTCCCAGGGGATTGAAAACTCCTGTCCGTACTCTCCATCCCCTTTTCTCCCTGTTTAACAGAGCATGTTTTGAATGCCTTCTATATGTCAGGCACAGGGCTGGGCACCCAGATGCCACTTGAGCTCACTTAGGTGTAAGTATCTTAATGTGTATTCTCCTAAAACATTTGGCCACGCCAGTGAGACCTTTATTCTATAAAACACTCAGCTCATAATTGGTAGTCCTCTTTTAAAGTGCTTCTGAATCACTGAATAACTCCATGTCTTCATGTGTTAATCTCGAAGTAACCAGAGAGTCAGGGAGTAACGGGATTCTGGAATTAGATATCTCAGAGTAGAAGATCCTGCACACTAGTGAGAGCTTAATTTCTTGGAAACTAGGCACGTTCTCAGGCCGTTGGCATGGAGGCCTGGGTCAGTAGGCATGAGGGTTGGCCTGGGTGAGGCATCTAGGGCTGACTGATTCACAAAGGCTGGCTCCCCAGAGGAGCCCGGTAGGACCTGTAGGCCTAACTTCTCCATTCTCCTCCTCCCTCTCACAGAGTAACCTCTCTCCTTCAGAAGTTGTGCAGTGGTCCAACCACAGGGTGATGGAGTGGTTGCGGTCTGTGGACCTGGCGGAATACGCGCCCAACCTTCGTGGGAGTGGCGTCCACGGAGGTCTCATTGTGAGTGGCTCTTTGAGCTGGTCCACTTGCCTCGGTGCTCCTGGGGTATTCAGGAACTGACGTCTAAGGGCTAGACATGCATCCCAGTAAGAAAGTTGATACTTCATCTGAACTCCTTGCATAAATTGAAATCTCAAAGTAGAATTTGATCCCTTGTGGCTGAGACTTAATGGGCTTCAGGGAAATAAGATGGGCTCTGGAAAGACTTTCCCAGCTACACGCCCAGAGGAGTCCAGGACAAGGGGTCTGCATGAAAACTGCCCATTAACCAGGCAGCTCCACCTGCTGCTAGAGGAACACAGGGCTGGGGAGGGAGAGGGAACCTAGATGTCACCTCCTGCTCGTTACGGGACGATCCGTCTCAGCACTCAGAGCTCTCAAGAGGCAAAGCTAGCAGAGAAATGAGGGGGTGGCTTGGATGTCATCTAGAATGGACCCTGGATGACAAGGGATGAGAAGGGAGACAGCCTTGGCTAAGAGGGCACAGCTCTCCACTGGTCAGTCACAGAGTCAGGCCCTGTGCCAGGGAGCCAGGGGATGGGGACACAGGACAGGTGCCCTGGAGGTTCCCGGGTCGATGGGAGCCTGTTTCTCAATGTCGTCACCTGGAACCACTGGTGGTCACCACTGACTGACTGGTCTGATTTCTTCTTAGATTCTAGAGCCACGCTTCACAGGGGACACCCTGGCCATGCTTCTCAACATCCCACCACAAAAAACGCTCCTCAGACGTCACCTGACCACCAAATTCAACGCCTTGATCGGCCCTGAGGCTGAGCAGGAGAAGCGAGAGAGAATGACCTCACCTGCTTACACACCATTGACCACCACAGCCAAAGTCCGGGTGAGTTGCCAGGCCCTTTCTGGGGTGGCCACAGGGACTTGCCTTCTGGCCCTTAACTTGGGCAACACATAAGCCAGGACCTGGTGCCAAACCCAAGTGGGCTGCCTGGATGAGGAGGCTCTCGTGACTTCTGCTTTGGCTTCTACCTTTGGTTTGATTTTATGTTGCTCTTTGTTAGGCCAGTTCCCGGCCACTCTTGAGTCCAAGGGTGTGCAGGTTTCTTTACACAGAAATGATATGCAGGCACATCCAGTCCTCTTTCCTGATGCTACCTTGACTCTTTTTGCAAAGCAGACAAGTTCCTGAGTGTGGTGCCCTGCGCCAGTTAGAGCTGTCTTACCAACTCAACGAGTGGCCCTGTGGGAGCCAGCCTTGGGGGTGGCCAGCACACAGCTATCAGAGGTCCCGAGGTCATGCAAGCACCAGCACCACTCACTGGGGCTCTGAATCTCACACTTCCCCCCCTGCCTGAGCTGTTCTGCCAACTCAGCACAGCTCCGGTGCTGGAGCAGGCAGGACGGGCTCTCTGTGTGGCTGCCCTCGGTGCTGTGGGGAGGTGGGGAGTGCTCCCCACGCGGTGCCAAGTCCTGTGAGCTTGGCCTCTCCAGACTGCAGCATCTTCAGGGAGTCCCAAGTCCTCCCAGGGAATGTCAGCATCACAGGGCAAGAGTTTTGGGCATGGAGCCTTGGAGGAGCAGCTCTGCTTGCTCAGGACAGTTGATCTGCTGGCCTCTCCCCAGCAGGCCAGTTGCTTCCAGGAGTGCAATTTTTGTGAAGAGAGTTTTTCTAGAAGCAGTTTGCCTTATTCCTTCCCTCACAGGCCTGCTCTAAAATGTATTGTCAGGGTAGCTGCATACCAGCTCAGTCATCTCTTTCTCATCATCTTGCATCTGCTGTGTTTTAGCCAAGGAAGCTGGGATTTTCACATTTTGGAAACATAAGAAAAAAGAAGTTTGATGAATCGACGGACTACATTTGCCCAATGGAGCCCAGCAACAGTGTCGGTGATGGTCACAGGGCCTACAGTGGCACCCGGGGCCTCAGCACACTTGATGCCCCTGAACTGGACGGGTTGGACCAGGTGGGACCGATTAGCTGATGCCTTTGTCACCTGTGCTGTCTGTGCGTCCCGAGAGCTCACAGTAACTCCGTGTGTGTCACCATGTAACTCACCTCACCCCCGCGTATGCGCATGACCCGCAGAGAACATTCCAGCCATTGCGCACCCCTGGGCGTCTTTCTCCGAACCCTGCGGGTGGCCAGGGATGGAGCTGCATCTTTGCTAAGGGGCCAGACTTGGGGACTCAGGAGGAAGGACACTTTAGGATGCTTGTACATTTTTGGTAAGTCCGAATGTCCACCGACAGCACTGGTGGCCACGCCTGAGCTTGGACACAGGTCCCGAGACCGCAGTCAACCCTGAGGGGCTCAGCTCTCAGGCCCCTCAGCTGCTCCCCCGTGGAGGGCAGTCCCAAGTGCCTTGGGCCTGTGGCCAGAGTTTTGGCTGCAGGGACAGAGCAAGGCCTTCTGCTGTGGGGACAATGGAACTGTCGTGACTTCATTCAGAGGTGGTCTCTTTCGGTAATAAAACCCGTATTTATGTAGAAAGTGAGCAGCACAGCATATCTCTAAGTGTGTCCAGGGGAGCGAGGTGGGCACATTGACAGCGGGAGTGCTGCTCGAGAGCCCCCACTGCTGAGCTGGGCTGCAATTTGCGCATGTCCTGGGAAAGGGGGATGGGGCAAGGACTCACCGCCTCCCCCACCAGCCTTTGGAGGAGCCTGTGGCCTCATGTTAGGGTGCACCGGCCAGTGGGAAGCCCAGAGGCATTTTGTGTCTCATTCTGCTGTCGTGCAGACCCCGAAGCTGGTTTCCATTCTGGCAGTGGGAAACCACCTGCCTTGCTGGCAGGCCTCTGTTCTTGCATGTGTTGTGTGAGTTCCACTGTGACTGCCCTCCCTGGGCCTGGGCAGGGGTTGCTCTGTGTTGGTGGAGCTGGAACAGAACTGTCCTCCCGATTTAGAGGCTGACTGACCGAAAGTGGGTCTTCCAGCTGGGCCTGGTGTGGCCAAGGACAGGGGAGGGACGCACCTGCCAGTCTGTGCTCCTGCTCCTGAAATCCCAGTTGGGCCCAGTGCAGCTTTTGGCTCCACTGGGTCCCCTGGGCCTTGTCTGCAGAATCCCGACAGCAGCACTGTAACTGGTGGCCGCAGCATGCCTCATGAGCCCAGTTTGAACACTGGTTCTGTCCCAGATGGAGGCGAGGCAAAGTACCAGCAGCCTGAGGCCTCCTTTGAAGTCCAGTTAGCAAGGAATGTGGGTGCCAGCTTGCAAGTTATTAGCATGGCTGCTGTTTGATCCCAGGGCCAGGACCGCTGATGAGAGGTGCTCCCCGGGGCCGACAGCTGGGCACGGCAGTTTAGCGCTGTAGTCAGGGCCGGCTCTACGCCTTGTTCCTCTCTTATGGTGTCCTGGTGGGAGACCGCCGCATGTGCCTGCTCTCAAACCCTGCATGGGACTGTGATGTCACTAACTCTATGTGTGGCCTCAAGCAAGTCCTGCATCTCTTGGCGGGGGCCCAGTTTTCCCACCTGTAAAATGATGGGTTATATGCACTGCCCTCAAAGGGCAAACCTACAACGTCCATAAAGGTTTAGGGGAGGAGGAGCGGACTGGCATTGGCTGAGCAGGGAGGGAGGATCCTGGGATGAGGATACCTGGCTATGCCTACACCGGGGCATCAGTGTCTGAGGTCCTGCTGGGGCCAAAGACTGTCAGTGTGTTCAGCATCAGAAAGGCCTTCACTCGACCTCTCCCTGCTCCTGGGAATAGCTGGAATTCTGCACCTGTGCTGAAGGGTTGCCCTGAATGGGCCCATCTGTGCCCCGCTCCTGTGTCCTCTCAGAGCTGGCACTGAAGTGGGGACGCAGGAGTGTATGTGACTGTGTGGGACAGTGGAAGCTCTGCCTTTGCCCAGGGACAAGCAGTGTGTGCTTCACCCATGTGTTGCTCCCCAGGGCCTGGCCCACTCCTTGCCCACTCTCCCGGGGAGCAGGCCCAGGCCGGACAGGACTTGCAAGCCACCTCTGTGAATCCCAAGCTCAGTCCACAAGCGCTGACCAGGCCACTGCCCGTTTTACAGATGGCACCTTCGGAAGGCACCGTGACGCAGATAGGGCTCCTCTCCCAAGACATTCACCGCCTCACGGTAGGACTCTGACCTTCTCTCTATAGTAGGACCTGTGCTGGGGAGGCCCGGGGAATTTGGTGTGGGGCTGGCTTAGCCCCCTGGCTAATCCAGAGCCTGTAGCACCAGCGCCCCTGCTGGGGGAGAGCAGATGGGACTGGGGGCTGGTGCCGGAGCTGAGCCAGCCCTGAGGCCTTCTCCACTGGCCTGCTGCCAGTCTTGAGCCGAAACCAGCTCAAGTGTCCTCGGTCTCAGGCCCTCTGTCCAAGCCTGAGGCTGGTGAGGAGACCAAGATACTCAGAGTTCTGGGCCACCTGCCTCGTCAGCCCAAAGCCCAGGCCTCACCCCTGGCCTGATGGACAGGGCTCTGCCCTCTCTGCCCATGAGACACACATTTCCTGTCATGCCTCTGACTTTACGGACATCACAGGCATGAGTCCATCCTGGCAGGTCCAGTTGGGACAAACTGTACCATGTGAAGCAGCTCAGACCTAGGGGAGAGGAGCCACTCTGGAGGGAGACTGACTGTCCCTGTCTGCGACCTTGGGCAAGTCACTGTCTGTCAAGCAAGGCTGATAATATCCTCCTTGCCAGGCCGGCAGGCAGACCAGAGCTGGCAGAAAAAGGCCAGTCAGAGAATAGAATCACGTTGGTGAGGCCCAGTGCCTCCCAGGGCCTGTCCATTCTGGACTGCCCCAGCATGAGCCCACTGGCCACAGCATCCACTTCACTGAGGCCTTTGCTGGTTTACTGAGCAGATTATAAAGGCTGAACCCAAGGCAAGACAAGACTGGGGCAGGGGCGGCTCTCCCCGAGTCCAAACAGAATCACTTTTGTCAATTTGTTTTTTCTTGGCTCACACACTGAAATGAACCCACCCAGCCTTGCCTTTCTCACTTCCGATAGACCTTTGGTGGCCGTGAACTAGCACCTTTAAAGGTAGGAGCAATCTACTGTCGATAGTGTTGGCGTCCCTGGGACACCATGAACTTACAGGGCGTTGGTGTCAGGGCCAACCCAGGACCCTGCTGCTCCCCATGGAGCAGCCTGAGGGCAGCCGTGACCTGTTGAACGGTGTTGAGCGGGGCCTTCGGCCGTGTCCTTTCAGACGATGCTGAGCCAGGACCAGCTGCTGACCGACTCCCACCTGGCCACTCCCAGATCTGAGGACTGGAGATGACTCTCTTCATGGCTGGCAGCCCAGAGAGGCACGTGTGTGGGTCCCGAGTCTGCTTCGATGGGAAGCTGGCCCATGGCCACCCACAGAGCCCAGACTGGGCCCCAGGGCATCTCCGACGTGGGTGCTGACAGGACAATGCGAGGCTGTGGAACAATGTCCACGAGGTGGCCCACAGGTTTTTAACTGTGCTGTGCTCTCCACCACAGCTTTTGTACCTTTTGTACTTTATACGTGGACTGTAGAGCGCTTTTGCAGGGAGGGCAGTGAGATGCCCACACCCACTCAGTGACTCACGCCATCCCTAGCGATAGCTGGGAGCTCTTACACCAAAGGGGAAGGGCTGTGAGTCACAAAAGCTTTGCTGGAAAAAAAAAAATTGTGAATGTTCTGAGCTGGCTGAAGTGGTAGGAAGCCCCCTCCCGGGCTGCTTCCATATGGAAGCTTGTAGTGCGTTTCCGTTCCCAGGAATCTGGCTGGAGCGCCAGCAGGGAAGGAGTGATGGACCCCCTCGACAAGGCTGCCGTTTTCTGCAGTGGTGTCTGAGGTTCTCAGGGCTGCGAGGCCTCCCAGCATCTGAGCAGACATCTCTGCGGCCTTTCCCTCGTCAGCCTCAGAGGCAATTTATCTGATCAAACAGCTTTCCTCGAGTGGAAAGGCCCTTTCCACTGCAAGACATCTCAGGTATGTCCTACCTCGGGGAGAGGCACCTGCTCAGTGGTCACACAGTCACCCTCCCAACCAGCCTTCCCCCTGAGCAGTGGCCCGAACTCCTCCCTCTAGTGGCTCTAGCTCTGGCCCCATCTCTCTAACTTCCTCAGGGGAGTCTCCCACTGGGTCCCTCACCCTTCCCAAAGCACTATTTTCATCCTGCTAAGAACTCAGTTCCACAACCACCACGGATTAGCATTCAAAAGCCTTAGCACCCAAGACCCCTCTGAGTCTTCAGCATTCATGAACCCATGCTCTAGCCTTTGCTCCTACGTTTCCCTCACCAGAATGTATTTTTCTCCTACTCCCTGTCACAAGGCTGGATCCTGTCTGCTGAGGTTCAGGTCAGCCCCAGCCTCTTTCAGGAAGCTTTCACTGAGGGTTGGTGGTCTCCATCCCATGGTGCAGTCTGACCTGAGCACTTCCTGGCTCTCCTTGAAGTAGTGTGTAACCTTTCTCCACCCATGCTCAACACAAACTCACTGAGCACCTGTGTGGACAGGTTCCTGTACAGACAAGAGTAAGACCCTTCCCCATCTGCTCATTCCCTCATATGTGCAGGTTAAATACCTTCCATTCTGGGCCAAGGAGCACTGGGGATACAGGGATGAATGTCAAGGTCTTTCCCTGGGGGTGTGGATGGTCCAGTGTGGGAGTACACGTCTGTTTCAGACAAAAGCATGTGCTGAATGCTACAGATACTCCAGTAGAAGTGTCTACAGCCCCAAAGAGCAAACTGTCATTGTTAACGGAGGGCTGGGGAGGGGGACTGAAAAGGCTCCAAGGAAGAGGTGATACTTGAATTTTGAAAGATGAATCAGAGTCAAGTATGCCAGAGGGGAAAGGCACTCCAGGCAGATGGACCTGAACCATCCCAGCATGTCCAAGGAAGTACCTGAAGTTGGTATGACAAGAGCAGAGCTTCTTGAGCCCTGCATTGCTGTCATTCGGGGCTGGTAAGTCACTGTGCCTGGGCCATCCTGTGTGCTCTAGGATGTTTAGCAGCATCCTTGGTCTCTCCCTCTAGATGCCAATAGCTCCCCTCTAGTTGAGGACCACTGGGCCAGAGAACTGGGTCAGAGAAGGAGGCCCAAGGAAGGAAGGAAGGATCTGGTGAGGTCAGCTGGAGCCCAGATCAAGAAAGGCTTGGTAAGCCAGCCTCCCGGAATTGACCTTGGAGATACATGGTGTCCAGGGAGGGACTACTGAAAGCAATGAGATATTTAAAGCAGGGGATAGGCATGGCATGATTTGTGTTTAAAAGAAACATCTGAAGGGAGGACCTACCTTACTCATCGTGCAGTGCCCATCACTCTGTCTTTCTCTGAGTAGGGGCCTCACTGAGGATGAACTCAACAGGTGGACAGATGAAGGCTAAGCTGCCACAATCTCCCCCAGCCCCCACTGGCCCGCTGAGAGACTGACCTGTGTTACGCCACCTGTGGGTACTGTACCACTGTACTTCAGAGAATTCTCTCGCGCTGTCTTCCTCTATCTCCTGTATCCCTTCACTCTGCCCCGCTACCCACATATACACGTGCATAAGAAATCCAGTGACACCAAGTTCAAACAATGCTGCTACTACGCCGGTTTTTGCAAAAAACGAACAACCTAGAGTTAAACTCAAGTTTGAAGCCCAGCTCTGCCACCTACTGGCTGAATGATCTAGGGACAACAGCTTCATGTCTAAATTGCCTCATCTGTAACTTGGAGGACAAAATTCCCACACGATTTCTGGCTCAGCAGAGGGGAGAGCAGCCAAGATGGAAGAGTAACAAGACCCAGAACTCACGTGCTTTCACGAGCACACCAAAATCACCAGTATCTGCAGAGCAACCATCGATTAAAAAGACTGTAGAGATCTTCTCCAGTTAATGACATAAAGAAGGAACCACGATGAAACAGGAAGGATGGACTTGCAATACAATCAAATCCCATACCACCTCCCCAGGGTAGGTGACCACAGACTAGGGAATAATAATATTAGATTCTCCCACAAAAACAAGAGCTCTGAGCCCCACGTCAGGCTGCCAAGCCCAGGGTTCTGGTCAGATGAGCTCTCCAGAGCAGTTGTTTCTGAAGCCAGTGGGGCTTAACTGCAGAAGCCCCACAAGCCTGGGGCAAAGAGAGACTCCATTCTTAAAGTTAAGTCGCTCAGTTGCAACCCTATGGATTGTAGCCTACCAGGCTTCTCCGCCCATGGGATTTTCCAGGCAAGAGTACTGGAGTGGGTTGCCATTCCCTTCTCCAGGAGATCTTCCCAACCCAGGGATTGAACCCAGGTCTCCCGCATTGTAGGCAGACGCTTTACCATCTGAGTCACCAGGGAAATTCATTCTTAAAGGCATATACAAAACTCCATGTACACCAGGACACAGAGCAAAAGAAGTAATTTGTTAAGAGCCTGGGCCAGACCTACCTGCTGGCCTTGGAGAGTCTCATGGAGAGGAAGGGGGCAGGTGTGGCTCACCCTGGGGACAGAGCCACTAGTGGCAGCCATACCCCGGAGCATTCGGGAGCCTGAAAATGGTTGATGGTGGCAGCTGACAGCTTGGCTTAGTAACTCAAGGACCACACCCTGCCCTGTGGCCTACAGGCAAGAGCACTGGGCCACCTCAGGCCAAGCAACTGGGCGGGGACACAGACTCACCCATCAGCAGACTGGCTGATCTAAAGACTAAAGAGCCCACACGTGCCTCTGGGTTCACCCCTCAACATAGCCCAACTCCCCGGAGGGCTAAGACCTGGCTCGTAAAGCAAAAAAACAATTCCCCAACGCAAGCCAGACTGTACCCTGGGACCAGGTGGGCCCTGAACACTAACAGGCCAACATAACCTTTCAGGACACCCCAGGTCCCATGCCCAACTGTGTTAGGAACCAATGATCTCAAGCTCCCTACAGTCAGACTTCAGGAACTAGCTCTGCCTGCCAGTAGTCTGGCCCTAACCCCAGGAACTGGTTTCATCTGTCAGCAGGGGGGCAACAGCCCCAGAGTCTTTGTGACCCTGATTCTGCCCACCAGTGAGCCAGCACTAGCCCTGGGCCTCCTTGGGTTACCACAACGTAAAGACCCATGCTGCCCTCTCAGGGGGAACCCTAGAATATACAGCTTGGGTAAGGAGCAGAATTCACTGCTAGGATGCTTCCTACACAAGGCCACTTCTCCAAGGTCAAGAAATGTCACTAACCTACCACTTACATACAAATAGTAATTCAGACAAAATGAGGTGGCAGAGGAAACCACCACGGCTGAAAAGAAAACAAGGGAAAAGAATGAAAAGAAATGAGGTGAGTTTAAGAGAACTCTGGGACAACATCTAGCACACTAATATTTGCATTTCTGGGGTCTCAAAAAGAGAAGAGAGAGAGGGCTCGAGAAAATATTTGAAGAGATAATAGCTGAAAACCTCCCTAACCTGGGAAAAGAAATAGTCACCCAAGTCCAGGAAATGCAGAGAGCCCCAAAGAGAAACATACCAACACATTGTAATCAAAATGACAAAAATTAAAGCTAAAGAGAATACTAAAAGCAGCAAATAACATTAAAGAAGGAACTCCCATAAAACTATTAGCTAATTTTTCAGCAGAAATGCTGCAGGTCAGAAGGGAGTGGCATGATATATTTAAAGTGTGAAATGGAAAAACACAACCAAGAATATTCTATCCTCTACGGCTGTCATTCAGATTTGAAGGAGAAGTCAAAAACTTTAAAGACAAGCAAAAGCTAAAAGAATTCATCACCAAACTAGCTTTACAACAAATGTTAAAGGAACATCTCTGGTGGAAAAAGAAAAGGCTGCCAGTGTAAATAAAATTATGGAATGAAAAACTCACCAGTAAAGGCAAACATACAGTAAAGGTATGAAATCAGCCTCCCGCAAAGCTAGTAGAGACGATAAAAAACTAAAAGTAGTAAAGTCATCTCTATCTACAATAAGCAGTTACGGGATATACCAAACAACTAGATGCAAAATATCAAGAAGAGTAATTGTGAGGGTGGGAAAGTACAAATGCAGTTGAAAGAGATCAGCAACTTAATCATATACATACAGACTGCTGTACAAAAACCTCGAGGTAACTGCAAACCAAAGATCTATAATATAAATACACACAAAGGACTCCAAACGTAACACTTAAGATAGTCATCAAGTCACAAGAGAACAAAAGAACAGGAAGAAAAGACCTTCAAAAACAAATCCAAAACAACACAATGGCAGTAAGAAAATATATATTGATTACTTTAAGTGTAAATGGTATAAAGGAAAGACACAGGCTGGCTGAATGGACACAAAAAGATGATCCATGTATTTGCTGCCTACAAGAGGTTCCTTTCAAATCTACAGACACTTTACAGACTGAAAGCGAGGGGAGGGGAAAAGACATTCCATGCAAATAGAAATCAAAAGAAAGCTGGAGTAGCAATATTATAGACAAAATAGACTTAAAGACGGTTAAAAGAGACAAGCAACCAACGGATTGCTGAAGAAATCAAAGAGGAAATAATTACCTAGAGACAAATATGAAAGCACAATGTTCCAAAACCTATGAGATGCAGCAAAAGCAGTTTTAAGAGGGAAGTTTATAGTGATACAGCTTACCTCAGGAAACAAGTTCTCAAACAACCTAAACTTACACCTAAAGCAACTGAAGAAAGAAGAATGAACAAAACACAAAGTTAGCAGAAAGAAAGAAATCAAAGATCAGAGCAGAAATAAATGAAATAGAGACTACAAAAACATAGAAAATATCAATGAAACTAAAAGCTGGTTCTTTGAAAAGACACACAAAAATTGCTAAACCTTTACCAAGGCTCATCAAGAAAAAAAAAAAAGGGAGAGGCCTAAATCAGTAAAATCGGAAATGAAAAAATGTGAAGGATTATAAGTGGCTGCTTCAAGCAACCATGTGCCAACAAAATGGACAATCTGGAAGGAATGAACAAAGAAAGGTATGCTTTCTCAAGACTGAACCAGGAAGAAAGAAAATATGAACAGACCAACTACCAGGACTGAAATTTGAATCAGTAATTTTAAATCTCCCCCAGCAAACAAAAAGTCAAGGACCAGATGGCTTCACACATGAAACATTAGAGAAGAGATAACACTTACCCTTCTGAAACTATTCCAAAAAATTGGAGAGAAAGGAACACATCTGAACTCTTCCTATGAGGCAACCATTATCCTAAAAACAAAAATCAGACAAAATTACCACAACAAAGAAAATTAAAAACAGTTATCACTGATGAGCATAGATGCAAAAGTCCTCAGCAAAATACTAGCAAACCTTCTCCAACAATACATTAAAAGGATTGTACACCTTGATCAAGTGGGAACTATTCAAGGGCTGCAGAGATTTTTTTCAGTATCTACAAATCAATCAGTGTGATACACCACATTCACAAACTGAAGAATAAAAACCACAGGATCATCTCAATAGATGCACAAAAAGCTTTTGATAAAATTGAACATCCATTTGATGATAATTCTCCAGAAAGTGGGCATAGAAGGAATATACATCAACATAATAAAGGCTATACATAGCTTTTCATGACTAGGTACAGCTAACATCATACTCAACAGTGAAAAGCTGACAGCATTCCCTCTAAGATCAGGAACAAAACAAAGAGATCCATTCTCACCTCTTTTATCCAACTGTTTTGGAAGTCCCAGCTGCAGCAATCAAAGAAAAAGGAAATAAAAGGGATCCAAATTGAAAAAGAAGTAAAACTGTTGCAGATGACTATATATAGAAAGTACTAAAGGCATGACGAGAAAGTTACTGGGGGTCATCAATGAATTCAGTAAAGTTGCAGGATACAAAGTTAATATACAGGGATTTGTAATAACCACCCCAACCCACCCACCACTTCAGAATAGGAGTTGGCATTTAGAGGATGCTAACAAAGACACACCTCTTAGCTCCCTTTGTTGTGCCAAGTACAAGGAATCTAGGATTCCTGGGGCCCACCTCGACTACTGCCCTGATGGGTATTTTTAACACCATTCGCATTTCAAGAGTTTCCTACAAGAGAAGGAAGAGTGCACATGGGGAGTGCCTGAGCACTCCAATGGGTCTGACCTTAGAAACCGCACTCTAGAAAGAAGGGGGTCAAGAGAAATTATCAGAAGTTGACGTGACCCCACTTGGATTCTCCTGGAGTTCTGCCCCAGCATCTTTGACAGTTCTGACCTCCCAAGGACACAAGATGCCAGTTCACATGTGGAGCAAGCCAAGGCCTTCTACCTGTCTAGCGGGTCACCCTCAGACCCACACTCATGGGCTATCTGCCTTGCACTCAATTTTATCTCACTAAACTATGGGAAAAGATACTGAAAGGGAGTCCCTTCAAACCTCACCAGGCAAGGAAGCCCCAGAAGCCCCTTCACCTCCTGCCTCTAGAACATTTTTCTTAGGCCCACACCAAAAGAGAGGGGTGCCAGCGTACCTGAGGGTACATGAGAAGGGTCTTTGGATACTTCCCAGTTTAACGTGGTGAAGCTGAGCTCACTGTGAACCATGAACACGACCAGGCGAATTTGGAAAGAGCAAGGGAGGCTTTAGTAGGTGAAAATCATGTCCTTGGCATAACCCAGTTTCTTCAGGTTAGGGTGCGCGGCTGTCTGGATCAGGGGTGGTGGGCCACACACCAGGATGAGCGTGGACTTCCCAGGGGGAGGGAGGTGCTCCTTGATCATGTCCTCGGTAATGAAGCCGGAGCTGTACTTCCAGTCTGAGGTTAGGCATAAAAAAGCCGTTTGCATCCTTGACCCCAGGCCTCCTGCCCTCCTTCCCTCAAGCCTGGGAGCTTTGTGGGCCAAAGCTTAGACATCTGTGCTACTGTTTTCTGCAGAAACCTGGGAGCAGAGGATGTGGGTGGGTCCAGGCAGCCCTCTTAAGTAGTTACCCCAGATCCCAGGCTCACTGCTGGGAATCGGAGTCCCTGGCTGGTGTCTGCCGGCTGTAAGCACTGAACACCACAGTGAGACAGATGCACTTAGGAGTGTGAATCCAGGCAGAGAGCGGGAACTGTGCCCGGCAGAGGGCGCTGTGGTGTTTGGGGGGGCCGGCTCGGTTGGGTGGCGCCCTCTGCTGGCCAGTGAGCTCTATGACAAGGCAGGCATAACTGCTGTGTGGGAGAGGCAGCCAGCCAGCAGTGTGCGGGCTCTGGGGTGCGGCGTGCACTGCGATGACCGGGTGCTGGCTGGGGCTGCAGCCACTGTCTGCGGTTCAACTTGCGAGGACTGCTGTCTTAGGTGGGGTGACCGGTGCCAGGTGAAGGGGTAAGTGGCCGTACTGGATGCAGTGAGTGCTGACTCTGTGGGATGCTGTGTGGAGTGGGTGTTCACCGTGACCCAGGGATCCCTCTGATGTCACAGGGCAGTGTGTGGAGAGCCGCTGAGACGCTGGACACCTACCCTCTCCTGCCCTTACAAACAAGGCAGCCCAAATCGTCTCTCCCTCAAATTCCTGCATTTCCCAGTAGGGACACATACCAAGGCCTCAGCCACCTAGCTCACAAGCAACCAACCAGCCCAGGGACTGGTTCCCGGCTGGGTCCAAGGCTGGAGCTGACCCATGGTGGGGACAAACGGGCCCATACCAGCAGGAGGCCTGTCCAGTGTGTACCACAGGCCGAACTGCGTTGGATGAGTTCTAGCAACTTCTTCAAGCTCCCTTCTCATCAAGATATCCTCCTCTGTCTAGGAAAAAAAAAAAGGCAGCATGAGCCATGCTCCTCCAGGGCATCCTACTTGTTCCCCACACTGAGTACGTGGGTCCGCACATTCCTGCGCCAGTCATCCGGTTCTAGCTTGAGTGCTACCTGCAGACTCTGGGGCAATAAGTTCTGCTGAGGCTCCGGCACAACAAACACCCTCTGGTGGAGGGAAGCGGTGTGTGAATGCCCTCCACCGGGAAGGCTGTGTCTGAGCACTGGGCATCCAGCCCAGCTCCTGCATCCACCCTGAGTGCCAGGCAAGGCAAACTTGAATGACCCAGGATTTCTCTACAGGGAATGTGAGGGGCTAAGGCAGTGATACATGACACTAGATGTAATCTACAGCACTGGAGAACTACAGCAGAGGAAGACAGAGGCTGTAACCTCCACTGGGGAAAGTGAGCAAAGCCAAAAGATCTGTTGTAGGCTCAGAGATTTGCTGCACACAAGTCCTGGACCTTAAAACTCATCACAATCCCTGTCCTAACAATTTCAAGTCTAGGATTCTGTATGAGAAAATAATCTAACTGTGATCAAGCCTAGGCACAGTTATTCATCACTGTATCATTTATAACTGTGAAAACTGAGAATAGTCTGGAGAAGGAGATTTAGTAAATGATGGTACAACTTGATATAGACTGATAAAAATATTTACAAAGAGTAATAATGAGAAGAAAATGCCTGTGAGGTAATGTTGAGTGGAAGAAAATGAAAAACGTTAATTGTGACTATACAGCACATATAGGACAAAGACAAAAAAATTAAGTAAATTGTTTATATGCTTCTGTATTTCCTGAAATTTCCACTAAAGGCATCTATGATTTTATATTGGGGAAAAGCACAGAACTATGTATTAAAGAAGGAAAGCTTAGTGCTTATGGTTGGTTGGGGAGACAGAATTAAAAAAACAAACAAAAAAAAATGGAAAAACAGGCCTAGACTCAGTTTCTCTGGCTGCCAGCGGCCCTGCTTGTAAGCCCTTCCACAGCCGCAGGCACAGAGCAGCATGAGCTCGCTGAGTGCGGAGGGGCCACAAACCGTGGAACGTTATTTTCCTGCTCAGGGCTGACTCAGCAGAACTGACCTGGTTGGCGAAGATGAGGGACATCACGGTCTTGTCACTGGGCTTCCTGGTGATGCAGCGGATGAGCTGCAGCATGGGCGTGATCCCTGGAACACAGTTAGCAGGCAGGCTGGCTTCCCCTCCCCTCTGAGGCTCACAGCCCCTGCTCTGCAGCAGCTTCCCAGGTTTCCTTGGTCTCGATGACCTTTCCCACTTCTGTGCCCAGAGCTCAAAGTGTACTCAAAGTACCCTTCATTTTGGTTTTCTCTTCTAAAGCAAGAGTCCATCCAAAGCCCTTCTCATTTTCACATGGCAGCATTGGCTTTGAAACTGGACTGCATTTTACGTCCAGCTCCCTCACTGTCTGAGATTTTTACTGTCCTCATTTGTAAAACAGAACCAATGACAAGTAAATGTGAGTCTTTCTTTTAAATGCCCATTATGGTGCCTGGCACATAGTGGTTCACATTACATGATTGTTCTCATCTTTCAGGCATTCATTTTCAAGGGATAGGGAACATCAGGCTTGAATAGGATCCAGGAGCCCTTGGGAGCTCATGTGTGGGCTGGCTCAGCCTGCCCCCCAAGCTCACCTTAGAAGCTCCAGGGGCTCCTAGTGTAGCCACCATGTTGGTTAAGGGGAGCAGGGCATCCAGGGTCAGAGTCAAGAACTGTCATTGACTGCATCCCCATTTCAAACAGCCAGGGGAAGAATCTCTTACATCGCCTCTTCCAGACCATGACTCCAAAGTGAGAAAGGTCTCAGGGTTCACCCTGTGGATGAAGCCCCCAGTAGCCTCTTACCTGTGCCCCCAGCAATCATTCCCAGGTGATGCACCAGTTTAGTTTCAGGCTCACTCGTTTTGTATGGTTTGAATACAAACTTCCCTGAAATCACAAGAGGGTACTTCTGATGTCTACAACTCTTGATGTGCACAAACATCATCTTGGGCCCCCTCAGTCAGCCCTGGTCCACCAGGGCCCAAAGCGGGAATAGAGCTGGGGCATTCTTAGGGAATAACTGTATCTTTTCTCCTGAGGAAGGAGGAAGGCATATGCTGAAGTTAACATGGAGCCTCATACAGCACTCTCACCCATGCTAGTGAATGAGTAAGTGATGAGTGTGTGAGTAAATGGATGAGTGTGCATTCCTTCCATCCATCAACCTGTTATCCATTTTTCAGTAATAGCCAAGTGCCTTTTGTGTATCAGGCATTGTGCTGGAGATACAGTGATGAGGAAATACCAAATCACCCCCTTACCTTCATGAACCTTATAATCTCATAAAGTGGCTATGTGAATGATGTATGAAGACTTCAAGGACAAGTCCATGTGACTCAAATCTTAGGAGTTTTCTAGAATGATGTACCAAGAGTGGGGATATTCCTCCCAGTTGGAAGCCTAGTGTGAAGCTCCCAGTACCTGACCCATGATAGAACAGGCACCCAGATGGCCCTTGAAAAAGGATGGTGTCCCCAATTTTCATATTCTCCAAGTACTGAGTCATCTTCCCCCCTTCTGGGTGATTAGGATGTACATTTTTGAAGTAGATCTGAAAAATAAAGCAGCATAGTTTTCACACCTTTAGACCTGAGACTGCAGCCACATACAACTCAGGAATATATTTGCTACCAGAAACTGTGAGGAACACATCCACTGTGCTCATGGTTGCTCTCAGCAACCCCTGAAGACTTCACTAGGACAGCAGCCTCACTGTTAAATGACACTGCCAGGAAGCCCTGTCCAGGGCATGCACCCCTTCTCCACCCACTACCCTGAACAGGCTTGTGACAGTGAGGCAGCTGGACATGGCAGGCATCCTTTACCTTGATGATTAAGTCCACAAAGCCTAGGTCATCATCACTGGACACAGGCGTGTAAGCCCTGACCACCACAACACCGTCAATTTTGGCCAAGAGATGAACATAGTTACCTACAGAAAAGACAGCAAATGTTAAGACTGAGCGGGGCCAGCCTAAACAGGACCAAGGATTTCTCTAAAGCAGGAGTCCTCAAAGTTTTTGGCACCAGGGACCGGTTTTGTGGAAGACAAATTTTCCACAGACCAGGGCAGCAGAGTGGTTTGCGGATGATTCAAGCACTTTACATTTATTGTGCACTTTATTTCCATTTTGTGGCAGTCTCAGAATATTCCACCTTGACTTTAGGGTTAGGACTGGGGCTCCTATGGGAATCTAATGCCGCTGCTGATCTGACAGGAGGCGGAGCTGAGGCAGTAATGTGAGCGATGGGGAGCAGCTGTAAATACAGACAAAGCTCCACTCGCTGGCCTACCACTCACCTCTGCTGTGCAGCCTGCGTCCTAACACGCCATGGACCAGTGCCTGATCATGGCTGGGGACTCCTGCTCTAAAGGATTGAGCTTCGAGGGGTGGGGCGGGGTGGGGGTGGTGCATAGTGTGGCAGGGTGCATGGGAGGAGGACCAAGAAGGGAACGAGTCCAAGTCCCTGGATCCTAGGCCTGCCTTATCACCACATATGCAACGCAGAACAAGTCACTTCACCCCATACACCTGCCCTGACTCTGCATAGTGTAGTTGTGAGTTTCAGTTACCAGAAACCTACTGTTGTTGTGTGCTTACTCTGCCCAAGTACTCTGTGGAGCAGGAAGAGCTAACTAAAGTTGGAGTCTGAGTATTAAAAATTATAGAAGAGTGTTTCCTTTTTAAAGCAAAACATGCTGCCTTCATAAAGTCATTCCTTCCTAAACTGGATGTTTCACTGGGGTCTATGAATGAATCACAGCCCCCTCATCTGTATCCTGCTGCCTGGCATGGAGCAGGCCTGGGCTCACAGGTATGTGGAGACTCTGGATTTAGATATCCATAGACCATGCGTTCCAGCAGAAGCACTGCATCTCCCTGGCCCATGGCTCTGCTGAAGGGCAGAGTGAAGCTTTGAACCATGTAATTCTGCCTCTCCAGGGTAGACATGCGCGGACCACAGTAGCCAGAGTCCTATGGATCCAGCATCACATGATGAGCTGGGCCACTCAGGTTTCTGTTGGATCCAACTTGGGAGACTTAAGTGACTAAGGCAATTAGTGGTTAGGGCAAAAGCTGCAATCAAGAAATGGCAAGAGGCAAAGGCAAGAAAGTTCTGTGCCAGAGTATCTGAGGGAGGAGAAGCTGTGTGCGCACAGGACAGATGGACAGCATATGCAGACAGAAGCAGAGATCCAGGGGGAAGGAGGAAAAGGATGGAGGGGCCCTGAAGCCTGACTGTGGGTTAAGAAAGAACAGGCTTAGGATGGACAAACAAAAAGGTCTTACTGTATAGCACAGCAAACTATTTAATATCCTGTGATAAACCATCATGGGAAAGAATATGAAGAAGAAGATATCTATATCTCTATATATTTATATAACTGTGTCACTTTGAAATTAACAGAACATTGTAAATCAATTTTACTTCGATAAAATTTTAAAAAGTACAGGCTCAGTGTCTCTGGCTATGGCCTGGTTGGACACCAGGGATACCCAGGAATAAATACCTGCAGCAGCTTCCTGCTGAGAACTCATTTGATGCTGGAAACCTCAGAAAGGCTCTTTCAGATGCGGACAACCTGGGCCTGGTGCGGCAGAAACCTCAAAGAAAATGGGTCTGCACAGCTGGTCCTGAGCCCGCATCTCTAACCAGCTTCCTTTCAGCAGAGCTGAGAAGCATGAATACTCCCTGAGTCTTCATAGCCGACTCTCCCAGAAGCCTCTAAACTACTTTTTCCACTAACTGTGCACTACCCACACCAGGACTGAGGAGAGTGGGGCATGACAGTTTCTAAGAAAGTCTACTTCTCAAAGGTTTTCATTCTTGCCAATAGGATGGGCCTCAGAGGCCAGGCAGAGGGCTGGAAAGCAAGCTGACACTCAGCTCTCAGGGCTGAAGAAGAAGAGGAAGCAGCAAGTAGGCCCAGGGGCTAGGCTGGCTGCCTGGAGGGTCATTTCCTCACTTGAAGAGGTGACGTCAAGGTTCTGTCCCCTGCACACAGGACCAGCAGGCTCTGGATGAGGATCTCCACCAGGAAGGCAAAGAGCACTAGCAGTCTGTACAAAGTTTCAGGCTCTGGGCCTAGCACAGACTAAGGCTGACTCAGCTGTCTGGTGGTGGTACAGGTTGTTTGCTCGGTCATGTCCGATTCTGTGTGCCTCTATGGACTGCAGCCCGCCAAGCTGCTCTGTCCATGGAATTTTCCAGGCAAGAATGCTGGAGTGGGTTGCCATTTCCTACTCCAAGGGATCTTCCTGACCCAGGGATCAAACCTGCATCTCCTGCATTGGCAGGTGGCTTCTTTACCGCTATGCCACCTGGGAAGCCTGGTGGTACAGTTTAGAAATGGTATTAACGCGGAACTCTAGGACTGTGCAGGCTCCTACCCACAATGGGTGCCTCTTTCTGTGCATAGGTTTGAAGCCCCCGCTAAGAATCCATGTACTGGGATGAGGGGGGGACACCAATTTCCTTCTGCCTCTCCAAACATTCAGGGCCTTTCTCCCTACAGTAGGGGAACATCAATTCCTCCCATCCCTCCCAAGTGCACAGTACTTTACAGTTTGAATTTCACATCCATCTGTCACTTCTCACAATACCACCAGTAGCAGACAGGCCTAGGAAACCCCATTTTATAGACAGAGGCTCAGAGAGGTGAGGGACTTGCCTACAGTAGCCCAGCAAGGAGCTGACAATGGGATCTTAGACATTCTGACTATAGAGTCACTTCTTTTCATTACAGTATCAGTTTTGCGTCAGCCCAAATGGAACAACGAGAAAGGGAATGGACTGTCCCCCAGCCCATCTCCCCACCTCTCTGAGCTTATGTGGCTCAAGAAAGGTAGCAGGGTAACCTCTGCACCTCAGCCGAGTTTCTGATAGGAGCAGAGTGCCCGCAACACCCAGGTCCTGGTGATGACAAAAGCCCACTCACCTACAGGAAGCCCTAAGGCATGGTCCAGGGAGGGCAGTCCAAAGCGAAACCTCCGAGTGTTGTGGCTGATTTGCTGATAAAGTAAAGACAGGCTCTGTCAGCTTTCTGGAAGTCTTGCTGGGCAGCTCAGATGCCTGGGAAAGGAGCTCTCCACACACATACACAGACATGTATATGCTCTGGGGAGCAAACCAGAGGCCACGAATGCCCACCCCACTGCCCTGGCCTCCCCAGCCACCACATGCCCCCCCCCCGCCCCGACAGCAGAGGGGGAGGGCTGCCCATCACCTCTTTCTCAATCAAAGGCAGCGGGTACTTGGTATCAGAGTTCTGTAAGGTGATGTGACGACTCTTCACCACGTTCTTGCTCTTCAGGGCAAGCAGGAGCACAGTGATCCCAATAACAGTGACAGCAAAGACCAGGGACGGGTCCTACCAGACAATGTGAGCCAGGCCCTCAGGTCCTGCCTGCCCTGGGCAGGACAGCCCTCAGGCACAGTGGAACCCTCTCTACACCAAAGGCATGTGTGAAGCTGGACTGCGCCTGAAAGAAACTAGGCAGAAGTAAAGGTACCAGAATGGAAGGCAGGTGGACCTGGGGTGTGGGGAGGAGCCAGCTGCCGCTCAGACTAGCTGGGAGGTTTTGAGCTCCCAGACAGATGGCCCAGGAGTGCTAATGTCACCAGACCTTTCAAGCCCATCTGTCTCTATTTGGCTACAGTCAAGGGTGCAAGCCCTGGAAGTCTCTCCCTTGAGGTGGAGGGGGTGCTTCTAATACACGATTTGGAATGAAGGCCTCAATCCTCAGGGACAGAGCTAAAGAGGGGGGATTAGCTGTTGACATCTAAGAGGTATAGGGCTCCCCTCCCCTCCTCCCTCCTTCCAGGTCCGGCCAAGGCAGAGGTAGGGGTGGGGTGAGTACCTCCGGTGCCAGAGCTGCTCCAGGTCTTTGCTCAGAATCCACCAACTCCCACCTTTAGCAAGAGAGTCCTTGTTCACAACCTGCCAACTCCCACCCCACCCACCCTTAGCAGGAGTGGACATAAATCTTTAAGTTGAAGGGTTCAGAGATAAAGGAAGTTATATGCACACACAAAAGGAAAAAAGAAAAAAACAGATGGAACCAGTTGAGACCACGATGGCAATGAATCTGACCTCCAACAGGCCCTGAGTCCTCATTTTACCATATGAGCATATTAAACGACACAGGGATTAGTAGCTGGGCTTTCCCGGTAGCTCAGCTTGTAAAGAATCCACCTGCGATGCTGGAGACCACTGTTTGATTCCTCGGCCGGGAAGATCCCCTGGAGAAGGGATAGGCTCCCCACTCCAGTATTCTTGGGCTTCCCTGGTGGCTCAGAGAGTAAAGAATCTGCCTGCAATGCAGGAGACTGGGTTTGATCCCTGGGTTGGGAAGTCCTCCCTTGGAGGAGGGCATGGCAGCCCTCTCCAGTATTCTTGCCTGGAGAATCGCCATGGACAGAGGAGCCTAGTGGACTATAGTCCATGGGGTCGCAAAGAGTTGGACATGACTGAGCGACTAAGCACAGCACAGCATTGGTAGCCAGGACCAGACATTAAGGACCAAAAATGGATAAAAAGGGGGTAGCACCCCACTCCCTCATAAAAAGCCCTGTCCCTTCCCCATAGACTAATGCATTTTATCGCTGTTACTCTTTAAATACATACTGCCCGGTGGGCAAGGAGTTGGTCTGTGAACTCAGTTCCCTCTTCTCCATTCTTTGGCCACTGATTCAAGCTTGTGCCCTATACTCACCTACTCAAACCCGAGTGGGAAAGGCACTCTCCCTGCCGCCAAGCGAGGGCCCCAGCTGATTTGGGATACTGCATTACCTTAGTACCTGGGATACCACCCACACCCCTCGAGGCAGGCCAGTGAGGCCTTGGCACTCACCTGCCAGGGACTCCGCGGGGCTCCCGCATCCGCCCCCCACCCCACCACCCCTTCAGCGAGACGCCCGCCGGCCCGGGACGGTTTGGGAAAGGTCCACCCGGCCGTTTTCTCACGCCCGGAGATCCCCGCCCCACGCTGGGCCTTCTCAGGCTCCGCCCCGCCCAGTGCCAGCCCCTCCCAGGCCGGAGGGGTGACACCGTCCCCAGGCCGGTGGAGGCCTGCGGGATCCGGCGGACTCTGCCCGGCTCCCGCCCTGGCTTCCGCCCTGGCTTCTCTGGCCGTTTCCCGCCAGGCCCCCCGTGCTGGGAACCCACCCGGAACCAGCAGCCGAACATGTCGAAGGGGCGCTGTCTGGGAGGCGGGGAGGACCCCGGGGACCGGAGCTAGGCCGGGAAACGGGCACCCAGGACGGGCGGTGGGCCCCTCCGTCGCCCCCACTCTGAGGGCCAGGGTTCCGAAGCTTCTTTCTCGCGGGATTCCGGCTCTGCTCCAGCCCTGTCCCCTGTCCCCGCTGAGGCCCGCGCTGGGAGCTGGGGGCTGCCTCGCTCCCAGTTTAACATCCCTTGTTTATTACGTGGCTGCCTCTGCATCCTGGTCCTCTCGCCGGCACTCTGAGCATCTCTGGTGGAGAACTTCCTCTACTTGCTTGTTTACACCTGTGGCAAGGCTGGAGGAAGTCTCTGCTGGTCAAAGAAATGGGAATCCACTCCAATTCAGAGAGCACAGAAATATATACAGCAGACATTCACAGTGAGCTCCCACTCTGAGCCTAGTCCTTGACCAGGTGTTTTCGGGGCACGGGGGTGGGTGGGCAGGGGGGCGGTGATTGAGTTAAAGAGGACAAAGCATTCGTTCATTCTCTGTTGGGAAAGATGATAGGTACCCAACACAAGCCCAAAGAGGGTGCAGAATGGCAGGCATAGATAGCTTTGGCGGGACTTCACAGCAAATTTCAGAACCTTGGTGATCCCCTGCCCCGTCAATTCTCCCATCGCCAGTGGCAAGGGTAAATCCCTGCCTCCTGGGCCTGAGTAAGACAGAGAAGCCAAGAAATGGACTCCACTCCCAGCCCCACACACCACCACAGGCACATGCATAATAGAAGCCCCCCACCCCAATACCTGCACATGCCAGTGTATCATTGTCAGACACTTTAACTTTTGGCAATCTATTAATCGTAAAATGATGGCTTATGAGCTAATTTCGTTACCTAATTACTAAGGAGGTTGAACATCTTAAGTTTTCTTTTTCCTTATGGAGTTTCTTTGAAAAAAACAAAATGCCTGCTTATGACTTTTGCCCATCTTTGTATTGAGCTGTCTTTTTCTCACTGATTTTTAGGGGTCATATATATTTTAGAGATCGCTTCTTTGCCAATTTTATCAGTTACAAATGTTTTCTCCTGGTCGGCGCTACTCTTCCTTCTTTTCTTCCATAGCGCTTTTTCTTTCTCCCTCCATCTTTGGATAGAAGTTTGTAATCATAATGTGGTCAACTGTATCAATCTTCAGTCTTTTCCCGTTATGGTTAGTGCTTTTTGTGACTTAAGCTATTCCTACCCAAGGTCAAGATATTCTATATTTTCTCTGGCAAGACTTAAAGTTTTTTCCTTTTAAGTTTTTCAGTCACTCAGAATTGATTTCTGTGTACGATGTGAAGTAGGGATCCAGTTTAATTTTTTCTGTATGGATTATGCATTGTCTTGGTAACATTTATTGTATTGCTCACAGCTGATCACTAACCTGCAATGCCACCACCATCATGTATCAGTTGTTACATATTTATGAGTCCGGTTCTGGCCCCCCTGTCCTCTTTCATTGATCTAGTTGCCCATCTCCTGTGACAATGCCATAGTTCTCTAATTTCAATAGTTTATAACAACTGTTTATATCTTTTACTCTTATTTGGGTCTCAGTTCAAATATTACTTACTTAGAGATGCCTGTTCTAATGCCCCAGTTTAAGGAGATGTACATATTACATATTACATTCTATTCATAGCTGTTACTTTGGTTTGTAGCTGCTATTTCTGAGTATTTAATTGTTAAATGTCTGACTCTCACATTAGCCTGGAAATCCCACTATGGCAGAGATTTTGTGTCCCCAGGGCTTAGCACAGTGACTGTCACGTAGATAACATTTAATAAATATTTAGCAAAGGAGTGAATGCCTTCATCTCTGCCCCGTAGCATTTAGCACACTGTCGGACACAGATACTTATAAATACAATTCATGGTAGATGCTCCAGAGATACTGAAGGAAGAACCAATCCTTTCCAAAAGTACTCTGTATGCCTTGCTTGCTTAATTTGTCTGTGTAAGATGTATCACCAGATGATAAACTACATCTGCTACTACCTACTAGCCTACTGTCTTTCTCTTTCTGCCAGGATATAAGCTCCATGAGGACAGGATTTACTTTGTCTGCTTTAACTCCTAGGCCTAGAACAGAGCCTAGGATTTATTGCATGAATGAATGAATGAACTTCATTTTTTTCCTTTGATTCAATTAAAAGCCTTTATTGACTTTGGAATCTAAAGATGCCTCACTTTGTTCTATGGCTTTCTTAGTATTTTGCCTTTACCCTCTATTCTCTCTTCTCATGTTCCCTGCATAGCATGGTCCCTCTGTGTGACTAGAAGGGCAGATGGCACATCTTGCTTTCCTTAATCTTGGGGCAGGATGAAAGTGAAAGTGTTAGTCACTCAGTCGTGTCTGACTCTTTGCAACCCTATGAACTATAGCCCTCCAAGCTCCTCTCCAGGCAAGAATACTCCAGTTGGTAGCTATTCCCTTCTCTAGGGGATCCTCCAGACCCAGGGATTGAACCTGGGTCTCCTGCATTGCAGGCAAATTCTTTACTGTCTGAGCCACAAAGGCAGGCATTTATCTGGGCTCCCAGTAATTTTAAGAGGGTGATGATTTCCCTATCTCCTCAGCTCTTCTACACACTTTATACGTGTCCCTGAGATGCTCGTGTGCGGCCAGATTTGGTTCATCTTCTACTCATTTCCTGAAACAGACCATGAGCACATGTCTCACTCCCCACATCCCCAGCTTAGTAAGAGATCCCAGCAAAGAGAAGCCCCTCAGAAAGTGTTTGCTGAAAAGAAAAGAATGAACATCTGTTGTCACTATTTGAGCCTATATAACAGTGCTGAGCCTCTCTCACTGCTGAGAATCCCCTGGGGTAAACTGGTGCTCTGAGTTGATGTTTGGAGTATGTGCTTCTTAAATCACCAGCTTGTTGTGGGCTTTTCATTAGCTTTTAGCTTTAAAAATAATTTATTTCTATTTTATCCTTTGAACAAATGAGCAGCTCTGCATTTTAAGCTTAAATTGTGGTAGGCTCAGTAAGAGTCATCCAAATGTACCACATCCCAATCCTGCCCAATACTGCCTTACAGCTGGTGGAACTGTAGTAAAGAATCCACCTGCCAAACAGGAGGCCCGGGTTTGATCACTGGGTGGGGAAGATCATCTGGCAAAGGAAATGGCAACCCACTCCAGCATTCTTGCCTGGGAAATCCCATGGACAGAGGAGTCTGGTGGGCTATAGTCCATGGGGTCGCCAAAGAGTTGGACATGACTGAACAACCAAACGGCAACAATATTTATGCTACCTGATCAGAATTCAACACTGGGCACTTCAAATGGACATAAAGCAATGGTAATGCTTTGCTTCCTGGAATGTTTCAACGTGGACTTGTAGAACAGAAATGTGTCATGAAAAACTTGGCAAGCTCCTGGCAATTTGGGGCTGACACAGACCTGATGGGATAAGGCTTTATAAAGACAAAAGGCTTGAGACCTTGGGAGTGACCAGGATTTGCCAAAAACAGTATCTTTGGGAGGAATCAAAAGAATAGCTTGAGGCAGTGTCATGAAATAGAAACAATCATGGACTTAGAGAATAGATATGTGGTTGCCAAGGGGGAGGGGGCTGGAGGGTAGGATGGAGTGGGAGGTTGGGGTTAGCAGATGTCAGCTTTTATACGTAAGATGGATAAACAACAAAGTCTTACTATATAGCACAGAAAACTATATTCAATATCCTATGATAAACCATAATGGAAAATAATATAAAAAAGAATGTATGCATATATGTAAAACTGAATCACTTTGCTGTACAACAGAGATTAGCACAACATTGTATATCAACTATACTTCAGTTAAAAATATATATATAGAGAGAGAAAATAAAAACATTTCAAAAAAGGAGACTAGCTTGAGGAGTCCTGTTCCCGTTGTCCCTCCCACACCCAGAAGAATCCTCCCTGAGGAGCTCTGTGGGCAGCTTCACCAATGATGCTAGTCAATTTCCCCCCAGTGTTTATAGCAGTTGCTTCAACTCTTCCCAAACAGCATCTGTTGTGGCAGGGCTGGGGTAGAGCCTCCAGAATGTAGTGTGTGATTGTGACTTCACCACTTGGGCTGTGGAGACAATAGGGAGTAACTAGGACAGCAAATGCAGCTTCCAGGGGTGGAGTTCCACCTGCATAGACAGGTGTGGCTGCCTGCCTGGGCTGGGAGTCTCAGGCCTATATTAGGAGAAAGGCTGGTCTCCAGCAAGGGAGAAGGGGAAGATGTCCCAAAGAAAGAAGGCATTCCTGTCTCCTAGTTGAATACAATCAGCAATTTCTGTTTTTTTTCTTTTTTTGAAAGCAATAACAAGGGAAGATGGAAGAAACCAGGCTAAAGCTTCCACTCTGAGAATCATGATAAAACACGCTTTCTCATGGAACTGTAGTGTTTACAAAGCATTTCCCAGAGTGGAAGATATCCCTCTGAAATTATTGTGATCCTTTTACGACCACTTTAGTTTGGAAAAAAAGAACCTCCAAGAGATTCCATGTCTTGTGCAAAGTCACAAAGCTAAGACACAAGGCCATGTTCCTGATTGTAGGTCTTTCCTCTATACCACAGCAACCTATGATACAGTCAATGCATAAAAAGCATTTTGTTAGTGAGCCATACAAACTTAAACTCAATTCCTGACTTCAAATTTCAAGAAACCTTCCATTTTTCAGCTGCCAAACTGAAGCTCAGAAATGTCAAATGATGCTTTTGGAGAAAGGACTGTAATTGGGTCATTTATACTGAGATTTCAGTCTTTCAGAGCCTGCAGTGTGATTAAGAGCAAATGTAAGTTTCTTCCATTGTGGAAGAGAACTCAGATGGTATAGAAATGTAGAAAGCATCTTTTTTCTCTGCCTTCTCTCCTGTTACTGTGTTTCACCTGCCATGTTCCCATCTAAGTTCTCTTCCCCTCTGATCTTCTAAGGAACATTGCCCCAGTAATTCTTCCATCTTTTCCTTTCAATGTTGGTTCCTTC